GTTTTAATGCTTACATCAGTCTTATTTACAGCGACAAGATAGCTGTGTTAGATCTCGACTCTGTCGACTCTGGAAACCCCCAAATCAGCTACATCGTGAACGTTGGAAGCGTATATTCGGCACCCGGTATGCACGCCATAAGTCGACCGTTGGTAGCATCGGGTCCCTGGCTTGTGACTCCAGCCACTGCTAACCAATCCCTTGCCATCATCAACATCGCCACGCAAGAGCTCTATGGGATGGTAAAGGGTGTGGTCGGGGCTAGCAGGATGGTAGCAGCATACTCACCAAATCCGAATCCCATAGGAGCTGGAAGAAGCTCTTGTGGTTCAAAGGAGATTGTGATGTTCACCTTGCTGTATATTCTGTACATGTTGATGGCCGGATTCTGAGGCTATGTTTACACCTCAGTAGGAAAAGTCTTAGAGAAACAATTGCGCCACAATTAATTTACACCACCACTAGTTTGTCCTCAAAATCTTATAGGGCTTGTTCGGGATGCATAACCATCAATGCTTAACGTCATTTTTCTTTTTCTTTTAAGGAGAAGGGCGTGCACAGATTCCCACCAAAATGCGTGCATTTAACGCACGGTTATTTTTTTTAAGTATCTGCCTTACTGTCAATAGAGAAAACTGAGTAACCAATTTTGGTCTCATCGGAGTCAATATAGTAGAAGAACATCGACAGGATTAGACGGCTGCGCGACCGGGCGGGGAGAAGTATGGCCAAATAACGGATGAAATGTGCGCAATCATAACTTTCTGCAGGATAGTTAGAGGACTCACGATAATGAGAAGAGGACTAAAGCTCAGTTTGACTGAACAGTCAATCAGTCTTAGAAGCAAAACATAAATTAGGAGACAAGTAACTGTTTTGAGTAGGAAGTGTCTTTATCGACGTATGATGGGTTTAGTTTGTAAAGAAACTGTGGTGTTAATTAAAGACTTTGTAAACTAAGGTGAAAAGTGGATTGGTCACCGTCGGGGAAAGATTAGGCTGATTTAGCAACAGAACGGAAACGTCAGTTGACGACGGCGCGCGCAAATCAAACAACTGGCTTGACCACTGGCTGAGCAGCAAACTGGGCACCGGGAGTAGAGTTTAGTCCTTTTCGCGCGCTTTGCCGTTCTGTTGCTAAATCAGCCTATTGAGAAACTATCGACGCGTTGTCCTCAGTTGTTTGCCTTTTTAATCCACATCAGATGGCGTTTCCTGCCAAACACCGCGAGGTACAAAACACAACACAATTACATACTCTTGACGCCAAGTTTATTTATTTCAGTTTACTCTATTTGAACATTTCTAGCCGATTTATTTTTAAACGTGCGGAAAATTCTCAGAAATTGAACCCCTCACTGAGTGACGCCGGGTTTTAGCTGTGTAGGATGGTTTCGTACATGCTTTGCACTCCCATAACCACGTCCATAGCGCGCGTCTTCAAGGACAACTGTAGAAACAACAAACACGAGTTAGAAACGATGATAAAGACTTCAAAAATGAACTGGAACTAAATATCAGTCAAGGCTCACGTGAGGAACCGTTCCCAATCCCCCCGCATTAACCTCGTCTGAACGATACCTCCAGTTCACAACAGGCTATATACAATGACACCACTCTTCATTAAATCGAACGTTTTTTCACGCTTTACACCGTCTACACATATTTGACTCGTGTTCTAATTGGTTGGTTTACTTGACTGTTTGCATCCACTGTGATTGGTTTTAGTAGTTACTAACTTACGACACTCAATTAAAAACCATTCCACACCACCCGTCATCACAGAAACCCGGGATCAATTTAGGGCCTGTTTACATGGAGGTGGGGGACCTCAGGTAGGCGGGGTAGCCCGCCCGTCCATATAATCTCTCATTTTATTTTGCCCACGTTTACATGATAGGTGGGGTGACCCACCGCATGTTACCTCACCTATCTGGGGTCCCCCACCTCCATGTAAACAAGCCCTTAATAAAACTCTTAAGTGTAGCTATTGTTTTCAGACCCTAAAACAATAGCTACTCTTGTAAGCAAAAGTTTTATTAAACTGACCCAACATGCTCTGTCACACTGAACAAACGACTCGCGTTCAGCTGTGGGGCATTTAACAGGGTAGACACTGGGGATACTCGATAATAAAGCAAGCGTTCTTTAATTCTCATGTTTTAAATAAGCGCCGGATTCAGCTACAGGGAATTTAGGACATGAGACGTTAAATAAGGCTTAGAAAGGATAAAATGGTCCCTCAAAAAAGACTTTTTAACGGCCAGTTGGACTGATTAAAGGAGCCTTTCAGGGCTACAGTTTGTACAGTTTCTAACAACAGGAAAGTGAAATGACCAGCGCCGGTTCACCTACCTGTACCACAGGATTACCAGGCTGCATCTTGAGCTCTGCTAGAACCCATATTCCATTGGTAAATTTTAATGACTGATACAACATGTCCTGAGGAAAGAAAGAAATCCATGAGAACATAAATGCCTTAGGTTAACGCATACACAGGTACAACCTCCTAACGCAACGCCATCAGAATCTCCCAGAAATCAACAGTTGAGCTGGAATAATAAACGTGATGTCATTAAATGGAAGCTCTACTTTATAAAGGCGACTATCGCATCAGTTCTATGTCCACTAAAATCATCTAAAGTGAACTTAGAATTTTGACATTTTTTCAACCAAATTTCGGTCACTTTTCTAACAGTGGAAGTGTCCCTTTAAGATAACATTTGACGTAATAATAAGAAGAGTAATGTAATTGAACTCACCTGGCCTTCCACAGTGCGTTTGGCGATGGTGAAAACATTGTTAGCTGAAAGCTTTGACTGAGCCACGTCTACAGTAAAGTAAAAAGAACGAAAACAATGACACTTTTTTGCTACTTTCAAAATTTCACTGGCCAATGAGAAGAAAAAGTTTTACCTGAGGAAAACATGATGTTAGAGACTTGATTTTGCACTTCATTTTCCGCAGGAATATCCTTCCAAGTTGCTAAAAAGACCTTGCGGTCTACAAGAAAAAAAAAGTTTGAGTCAGCCACTATTTTCTTGCTAAAATGGAACTAAGAAAATTTAGAACGTGAGCGGTCAGAGCCACGGGCGGACGCGGGCGAAAGGGTAAATTTATGGAAATTAATGGTAAAAAGGAGGAGAGTTTCAGCCCTCGTTCCTCGCGGCTTCACCGCTCGCCCCTCACGCGTGCTCTCGATCTACTATGACTCAAAAGAAACATAAGAGACTGCTCGCTTACCCATTTGTCCGTCTTCAGCAAACAGCACATTATAAGGAACACCACAACTGAAGTAGAACACGTCCACATTATTCTTAATAGCAACTTGAAGGTTGGTTAATGGGTCCATTCTCTGAACAGCTCCAGCTACAATGGATAAAAAAAAACAATGCTCGATTTACCAAGTCAATATGTGCACTATTGTCTCGTTCTATTGGGTGAAGTTTATTGTGTTATAATTTGTGTAAGGGCTAGGGATCATTGTTGTGTTCTTTGAGACGTAACTCGAGACTTGCTATTCACATGGTATATCGTACACCAGCCCTACTTTTATGGTCATGATGTGGCTTCAAGGTCCTTCCTTGCTCGAAATTACAAGTTTGAACAGGGGCACTATGACCACAAAATTAGTTGGGGTAGCATTCTTGAGTAAGTGCCGCAACTTCCACTAAAACCCGGAGCTTTTTGGAAGGGAAGTACTTGCAATCAGAAACGCCGTCTTTAAAGCAATCACGTATCTTTTACCACAAATATCATGCTTTTTTAAATCAACAGGTAGATACATTGGGAAAGACTGGCAGTTTGCAAACATCATCCCTGGATACGTAACACCCACGAATAACCGCCACAATGAAAAGAAAAACAAAATATTATAGGCACTGTGAACCCCATTTTAAAACAACTTTTCTTAACGATGCTCTAGCAATTACTTTCTAACGTTGGGTCTTTAACCCTTCAACTTCCAAGTTACGAGCATCCAATTTCTGTAATTCTCCCAACGGTAACACGGCCTTGTAAAACATACAAGCCATGAGAATTAATAACATGAACTACAAAGATGATATGTCTTGATGTTTGAACAAATTCTCTCCAGCAGTACCATAAGAAATGTATGAATCTCAGTGTAGAGAAAATGAATGTTGATATTGGGGCTTTGTTACCACATACTTGTGTTGACAGGAAGCGAAGTTTCAGCTGAACTGTTGGCGAGTAAAGGAGTTGGAACGTTCAACGGTGAGGCTGGAGCAAGGCCAAAACTGGAAACGAAAAAACCGTAGTTATTACACATGGCAAAAAAATTTTCATAGCACTATAGATGACGTTAAATGGGCTGTGCTAACTTTCACGGGCTTATAACGAACCATTTCAGCGACCTGCTACCAGTTGGCTTGTTAGCTTAATTGGTAGAGCGCCCCCCCTGTATCGTAGAGGTCAAGGGTTCGAATCCCGTGCAAGCCCAAATTTTTTTTCAGGCTTTCTTTTCGAAACCGCAAAAGTTGCGTCTATAATTGCGATGATCTTCTGTCATATAATAAATGTTTTTCTGTTGTTGTTGGTTTACCGCGAGACGATTTACGCTAGCTAGTAATCAGAGATGGTCTTGTAGTTAACCCGTGCTCCAAACTTCAAGGTGTGAACTGGTTAAATCATATGTACACGTATTCCATGCATAACAACTAGCGAAACAGAACAGTATCCAAATCACCTGTTTTTGTTAAATTGAACTGCGAAATCTCCCATGGCCTGCATGGCTCTGTTGGAAAATTGCAGGTCCATGTAGATCTGTCCTTGGCGACGAGAAAACGTTCCTAGAAAATTAACAACAAAATGTCTTAATTAAACCCAAATACACATGTACATTAAAAGCAGCCTAAAGCGTCTGTAGCCATATTCTATGTTCCTAACCGCAATATAACCCCAAAATCCTATACACAGGGTGTCTTCCTTTTTTTCCACGACAGGGTTCGTACTCTTTTAAGTTCTTCAAATTTCATGACTTTCCATGACTTTTTCATGACCTTTTCTAGTTTTCCTTGACCTTAAGTTTAGCTGTTATTTTCGAAAATTTTCAAAACTCAACTTGTTTTAGCATATTTCTTTTTACAAAAACAGTTCAACAGAAACAAAGTCTGGTATCCACCACTGAAAATGCATGCCGTTCGCGTTGTTTAATTACTCCTCTTTATCTTACGTTATCCTTGCCTTGTCATCTGCAGTAACTAATCTACCAAACAAAACTTTAATTTTACATGATTTTCAAGGACCGACAATTAAATTCCATGACTTTCCAGGCCTCGAAAACGAATTCTTAAATTCCATGACTTTCCAGGTTTTCCATGACCTGTACGAACCCTGCGCAAATAAATGAATACACTGTTCTGCACCGAAACAACAATGGCCCTCACTTATAGAAAAAACCCAAACAATGAGCTATAGGCATTAAAGGACAGTTAACAAGACAAGACAAGAAGATTGACTTCTTTCAGCTCGATTTACATATGATACAGATGGAATTAACAAAGACAAATAAATACATTTATATTATGAGTAAAAAATAAAAATCTAGATAAGGAGCGAGTTGGGATCACCTAAACAGCAAAAGCTAATCTAGTGGATGACCTCCTTACAGTACTGTGAAATTACCTGAGACTTCCAGGCCTTTGCCTTTGGCAGCTGTCAGCCACACCTGTGTATCAAAATAATATCAAATCCAGTTAAGTCTGTGAGCAAGCTATCCATTTTGAGTGTCGAGCGCATTGAGCCGTGCGTGGAGTTGCAAGCGAGCCGTTTTGCATGACTTCTCATGATATTTTCCCCCTGATGGAGTCCTTTCTCCAGTTTAGCAGATATTTCTGTAATGCTGGATAACTAAAAGGCATTTAAAAAAACAAACCAAAACAAAACAACTGATTCTTTCTCCTTTCGCTTATCTTCCTCCAGTCTTATCTTAAGAACTACAAATTAAAATAAACTTCCACGATTTTTTGTATTATAGCTGATTTCAAGGAAAGAGGATTTTTTCAATTCATTTTTTGAAAAGAAGTGAAAGGAATTTCTGAAATGAATTGATTCTTCTTAAGAAATTTTACTTTATAATATTATTGCTATCCATGCTTTTGGCTGAGGCTGTATCTTGTTTGGTTGTCACTCATTACTTCCTATAAATTATTGTGCGTTAATTTGTTAGCTCCTAAAGACTGACCTAAATGAGAAGACAACACTGTACTGTTGCCTATGATAACTGACCTGTTTAGGTGCCGAATACGTTCCACCAGCGATACCAACACCCCCTGACAAGCTGAACAGATCTCCCAGGCCTCCCATCAAACCTGCCGGTTGAGCAGGAGCTGGGCCTCCACCAAGCTGAAAAACAGAGAGCAATAAAGATTGTATCACTGCAACGAGGTTCAACCATGGCACCTGCTCTGGCTGTTTGCACTATAAACGTATTAATTGATATAATCTGACCCTTGAATACAGTGTGGTAGGTTTGAACAGAATAATTCTTAATACATTTGTGTGCAATGAAGCCTCTTCTGCAGAAACAACAGAAAACGACTGAGATGAGTTAGCCCATGTGGAGATAAAACTAGACTGTTTGTTCTTTCAACTTGAAGATCAAAGTGAAAGTTGACTAACGTTGGCAAAAGAAAACAAACTGAGATCTCCCAAGAAGGACATCTCTTTGCACTGTGGCAAATATTCTTGTCAGTTGATGCGTTGTGGAGCGAGTATTGTTCAGTGATTTCTCAATTTTTTATGTCACATTATTTGGTAATTTCACAAGCAGTGACACCACAGAAACTGACCGGTACGACATATAAAATTCGCCTGTAGTAGTGAACTATTATCACATTCTTGTTACCTATTGTTGCGGGACATTTTAAAAAGATTTGTTATGGTTATGAGGATTTTTACCTGCAAGCCACTGAAGTCTTCTCCCAAAAGATCCATGACTCCACCACCTGGTGCTTAAAGAAAGATGGCAAAAAATACATCAAATAACTAGGTAATTAAAGTATACATCCTCCATCTACAGTGACACAAACCACCTAAAGTAATGTACATACACACAACATAAATATTCTCAAATTTTTCTTCTCTGTTTCCAAATAAACATGAAAAAAATGGCTTTAGATGAAGTTAAATGAACTTCAACACAGTTAACAACAAGGAGTGCCATCCATGTTGTCAGTCAGTGTTCAATGTGGTTGCTCAAGCACGGTCAGCCTAGCTTGCATCTGCTCCATGTGCTTAGTACAGCATTTCCTAGTATCTACTCTCTTCTTTCGCCTTTGGATCATTCTTTTACACCCATCCCTCTCCCCCTTAATTTTTCTGCTGATAAATCAGAGTGACAGGTGCCGGGTTCCATTGCTGTGGCTGGAAGGTGCAGGTCTACCAGTCATGGCACTGTACAGTGTAACTCTGTCCACAAAAGTGGAAGCCCCTAGACATCCCAGGCACCCACCTCCACTAAGCAATGCATTTCTTAACTGTAAGTATGAATAAAGGAGAGCAGAGCAATTCACTGTTGAAATAAAACCTACCTGCTGGTTGAGCGGGAGCCATGCTTGGAGCAGCAACAGGCTGAGAAGGTCCCATATCAAGAAGATCACCAAGAAGAGAATCGGTGGTGGGTTGAGGAGGAGCTGCAGCTACTTCAGCCATGACTGCTACTGGCTGCTGAGGTACAGGGGGTGCTTCTTCAGTTTCAGCTCCTACATGGAATGAAAACACACATGAAAGAAATCTGACAAATATACTGGAATGCAAATTAAAACTTCCACGCCCTTTGGCCCATTTGTAATATTAATATGCACCTCCTTGATGCAACCAAAATCCACTTTTTAGAGTTCCCAGCCATTGTTTTCTTATAACATTATAATACCCCTGTTAATATAATCACTTATTACTGGTAACAATAACAAAAACAACAGCAGCAAAAAATAAAATAAAATAAAATAATAATAACAATAAATAATGATAATGATAATCAACAACAATAATAATAGCAGTAATTGACATGGTCATTATTATTTATTCAGATTAAAAATAGTGATAAAGGACATGGTAATCATCATTATTATTCAGATTAAATTAATGAAGTGTCATAAATATTGCTTGCACTGATTTGGGCTGTACACATGCCATTCTAGCTGCCTCTGAGACTGTGAGGAAGGCCTGAGAGATGGATGGCTCAAACAGTGCTTGGTTTTCAAGGAATGACTTGTTTACTTCTTACATGTCCAGTAAAAACAACTAAGATAAAGTTTGTACATTAAATTATTGTACCTGGAGATGGCTCAGCTCTTGGGGGCAGTGTGAATCTCCTTGCAGCTGTGCGTCCTTCAACAAATGAGCTGGGTGGCTTGTGGTAGACAGAAGCCAGTGTGGAGATGTTACAGATCAGTTCATCCAGTAATGTGGGTTCCAGGAGATCTGTCTCTTCTGATATCAGTGGTTTTTCTGCCAGCACAACTTCCTGATCACAAAATAGAAAACATTTTTTAACAAGAACTCTTGATAATTTTAGCATAGATCCCAAGAACCAAGCCCCTTGAATATGATACGATAAAATTACAGCTAACTTACGGGCAATAAAAAGAGGTCTCTGCATTTATTGGCACAACAGTTTCCCAGCAATAAGGATATTTTCTAATGGTTCAAACTAATCCTCCTTAAAATCATACACTACAGTTTTAAGTAAACAAGAGTATTCACTGTCATTCTTCCATTCTGTCCTGATTACTTGAGTTTTCAGGAATTGCTCATAGCATGATTTCCATTTGGCAAGATACATGCCCAATGCAATCCAACACAATACAAAAAAGGCAGTACAATAAAATACAAATTCCTACATGAAAAGACAACCAATCTGGGGCAAGTTCCAAGTCCTTTGCATGGAACATATTTTTTCTCCATACATACTTAACTCAAACAACTTCACAAGGAAGGTTTCCCACCACGCTTTATTTTCAAAGAAAGGGTTTTTGGAAGTCAGAAATAGCTTATTAATGCATGGAAAGCTAACTATACCTTCGCAGCGACCGGGTCAGTGGACAAGAGTCTCCAGTAGATGTAACCTCTGTCCCTTAGATCTGGGTTATCACTATCCTGTGTTGCTAAACTTAAAACCTGCTGAACCAGCTCCTGTGTGTCAGTTGGACGCTTCAAAAACAACTTTACAATCGCTGTCAGAAGTTGCAGCTGCACCTAGAGTCCAAACAGCATCAGTTTGTGTTAACAGCATTATAATAATCTGAAAAAATGTTTACCTTTGTTCATGTGTACAATAGTAAATAAATTATTGACTTTTTTCTCGTACTGTTTTATTAACTATTGGTACCATATAAGGGAAGATGAATATTGGGTAGATACTTAAAAAGACTTCAAAGCAGTGTTGTACAATAAAAATCCCTAATCTCTTACTGAGGTGAAAATATATTTTTTTCTTGGCGTTGTGTGATCCTCTTATCCCCTTTACTAGGGCAGATGCTCATTGGGTTCATGGGTTATTTCTAGCACAGGAATTTTCACTCCAGAATTAATTCTTTTTTTGGCTAATTGGTAGAACATTGTGTATGTATTCATGACTAGACCAGGCAACACCAACAAAAATGATTGAACCTGGGCATTCTCATCTTGGAATCCTTCCAGAAATGACTCCAACAATTCTGCTGCATTGTCTATTCTCTCTGCATATTCACCAATGATCCAGATCATGGATGCCCTATGAAAGGTTACAAAATAAAGTATTTCAAACCAATGCTCTTTCCAAGGATTGATCAGCATTTGTAAACATTTCTGCCAAAAAAGCCACTTGTTAGATGCCTGGTTTATATATTAATCTCAAAAGTAATACTAACCTTGCCTCAGGCTCATCTAAGGAATCCAGGTTTTCGCACAAGGTGGAAATAATGCTCTCGTACTTGTTTGGATACTTCCTGAAGATATCCTAAAGGACACAATACCAGTTGGAAAAGAAGTGTTAACATTAGACCATCTGTGCAGGCATAAATAGTAGAGGAGACTGGTTAAGAGAGGCGAGAACCATCAGAAATAAAGACAACAGTGCTGCAGTTTATATATCGGTTCCATAACGGTGTACAATACTTTATTTTCTTTTCACAAATTGTGACTGAATAAATTAATGCTACACTTTTATTGGTCACTAAGATCAAAATGATAGGAGTGTTCTTGAACGTTTTGTGCTGTCAGGTCTACAAAAACATTAATTAAAGGAGTCTGATGGCCTTCAAAACCATTCCACTCTATTAACTATGGTACAGGCAAATGAAACCAATCAACCGATCAAGGACAGACGACTGACAGAGGAAAAAAGGATTTTACCTTGATAACAACAATAGCCTCTTGCACTACATAGTTGACTTTGGTCTGGATTAGGTCTAAGAGTGTGCTGACACAGCGTTCTGCAGATGCCTATGAGAAAAAAAAGCGAGTGTTAAAAATGCATAATCACCCAAAAATAACAAAGTTCTCAAAAAGTATCAGACTACATGTGTACTACCTCATCACTGGCATGGTCTCAGAAGAACTAGGTGCTATATTAATGCTATATTATGTATATTATTATAGTGCTATATTATGTATGAGTCATTCGAGTAGCTTCCAAAACCTGGTGGAGGTTGTCCATTTCCATGAGACACTAAGCTATGATTAGCATCTCGCCATGTTTTGATGAACCACCTCTCATGGTTGCCTCCACAACACATACACCTCTCTTTAAGACAGTTCTCTTGGTACCTCTACATGTACCTAGTGCTGTAACAGGGTCACCTGGCTATGTCCCTTTGGACTCCATACTAATTAAGTTTCACAGCATTTTTGTTTTTGAATACTGGAATACCAAAATGTAAGACTACCTGTTTCAAGAATCCCTCAGCATAGATGGCATGTATCAAAAGAACAGGGAAATATTATCACATGTATTACCTGACAATATGCAAGAAAGGAATGAAATTGGAATACTTAAATGTTACACTAGCAACTAAAAATCTAGTTCAAAAATAAACTGACCTCCACTTTGATGGCACAACGACCGATAGCTCTGACAGATTTTCTCACAAAATCAACATCAACTTCAGTGGCATACCTATATGAACAACAAAATGTTGTTTGGCCTTTTCTCCTTTCATTATTTATCTGTAGTATTAACTTCACATAGTATCACATTGCTTGCATGATTTTTGTAAATAGAAGTGCGTGGGAGGTGGCCCTAGAAGGACTAAATTAACAGGGGGGCGGGGAAACAAGAAGAACACTTTTGCTGTATGTAATGAAATCAACCCACTCTTTTAACTCTGCCAGAACTTGAGCAATGTTTTGTTGATTTGCCAGCCTGATCATGATGTCTAGTTTCTCCAGTTTCACATAAATTGGATCATTGTACTTCACAAAGAACACCTTCATCTCATTCTTGAGGATATCTGGCCTGAGGAGAGCAAAAAGTAGACTCAGAAAAATGCAGAATGTTCAACAGCTTAATTATGCTCAACAAGTTAAGAGAATTTTCAGTCAATTAAGTTGAGTACTGCAGATAAGAAGATCACTAGTACTTATGAAGGTACAATGAAATTCAATCAAGGACTGTTATTTCATCATTGGTAGCCTAACAATAGCCTACATACAGAGCTCCTCAAAAAGGAGGGAAGGATTCAAGAGTTAGTGGGTTAATTTACATGATTGACATCAGTGCAAGGGGGAAGGGATTCAACATGACAAAGTGTTTATTTAACAATTCTCAGTGAAAATTAAAATTGCTTATTTAAGATAACATGTAGCTTTAGTCTAAATTCAACTGAAATGCAAATCACATATCCAATAAAGACCTGATGTTATATGAGAAGGCCTAACTGCTAGTACCTCTTTTGAACAATCAAGTTAATGTTCCTTAAAGCAACATACTGTACTTCAGGTTCACTGGACAACAAAGTTACTAAAAAAAGAAAGGAAAAGATTCTATAATAAATCATCGCATCTGTTTAAGATTGTAAAACATACAACAACTTTCTTTTTGGAGGCTGGCTTTTTCAGAATGGCATTTCAAGGCTCCATTGCATTGGGAAATGATGTAGCAACTGCGTGAGAGAGAACAACATTGCCTAGTCTTGTAAGTACACTTATAAGTGGCTGGTTTTGGAAGGTTAAAAACGAAACTGGGACTAAAATTACAAAATCATTGCACAAAATAATAATGTTAATTAGTCTTTAGATTGTTTGAGGTAGTTAACATACCAAGAGGAGGAGACAGTTTCTTGATGAGGTTCTGAACATAGGATGAGGCAGGAGCCATTACTTCCATGTACTTCATAAGCACCTGTCGTGATATGAAAATCAGTGTTTCAGGGGCAGTTTAATGAAATTTCTGCTAATTATAGCATCAACTTGGCCATAATGAAGGCAAACTTGCTGATACATAAAATGGCTCCTGAGTACAATGACAGCATCTCAACACACTGTCTTGTGTTTCTGATGTTAATCTGAGATTATACATGAATAAATCTCTTTGCTAAGAAATCAGAAACAAGATTATTCTTACATTTAATGATCATTAAAGCCACGTCATGGTAAGTCTGCCGAGTACAGCTAGCCAGTTTAAGGATTTAAATACCTTGTAAAATGAAATCGAACTTTTTAAAACCAAGTACATATATTATGCAGCAACGTTCTGGACTAAATGAAGAAAGAATAGCCAACCCAACTAACCTTTACGGCAGACAAAACAACAGCAGCATTAGCATGAGACAATCTTGGAGTGACTCGTTCACAGATACTTGAAAAAAAGATACAGAAAGTATGATAAATAGTCAGGAGGTTAGCAAATCAATGTTAGTCAGAATTAAGAGAAAGAGAAAGAAATAAGCAGGGGACAATTTAATAAAACTTTTACGAGTGTAATTTACAAGTGTGCCTATTGTTTTCACCCTCTAAAACGATAGCTACAATTGTAAATTACGCTTGTAAAAGTTTTATTAAATTGATCCCAGGTACATTAGTGATACAAGCACTACATGTTCTTTACGACAAACACTGGCGAGGCCAGCCCTAATATAAGTGTCCTTCTCAGAAAGATGTCCCTCTACAAGAGAGTCAAGGAGAGTAACTAACTCTACATTTCTAGGTGTCTGCTATAGGGAGAAGCCCACCATAATTATAGTTACAGTGTATAATTGAAGACCCCAATAATATATTATTATGAGCTCTGGGCTTGTTCAAGTTGTAGGACATTTAGAGTGATCTGGGGGCTTACAAGCAGAATCGTATTTTGTGGATTGCTTAATATTAGTGTCCTGGCCTTTAATGTGGTTGTTCATACACAAATGAAAACTCCTGAAATATTTCAGGTGTTAACAGTGTTATTTACCATATTATTGTTTACTGACAAACATACTGACTTTTCAGGTGATTACTTTTTAAAAGAAAAGAACAGATTAAGAGTGTTACAGCCCCTTCCACCATGACCCAAATGAACTCAAGAGCAATGTCAGACACATAAGTAAGTAAAAGTAAAATACATGTATAATAATATTGCATACCTTTGAGCCTCACGGTCATCTTTTGGAGTGTACTGAGCAAGTGAATCAAGGATAAAGATCTGTCCCCACCTATTAAGTTTTGAAATACACATAACTACTTTGAATACTTAATCAATGACTTAGTTTTCAACAAAAAAAGCTGCTGTTAATGTCTTTTTCTAACTTTCTAAAAAATTGAATTCAACTTCCAAACATTATTTTGTGTTAAGCTAAAAAGTTTGTTTGTTATCAAACCATCCTGGCACTAGGACAGGCACACAAAGCAAGTTTAGATTTTCCTTCTTTCTTCTTTTTGTATCATTTTTCTTTCTTTTCCATTTTTTTACCTGCGGATACCCAAAGGGTTTTGTGATGGGTTTCAATATTCAAATGTGTCACTTGCTCACTTTGTGTTGACAGAGATTGCTCTTCGGCTCCCGAACTCACGGCCCAATATCAAAACAACATAGTTCGTTGTTGCCGAAGGGTCCCTGAGTTGTGTATTCACTCATGCATCCCGGCCCATGAGAGAACCCTGGGAATGAGGTTGTCACGCTCACATTCTCTGCGAAAGCATCAACACTGGCTGACAGTTCTTTAAGTCATGTATATGTTCTACAAGTATCTTGATCATAAACAATGGAGCAGTTTAAATTTCCAGTCACTTGACAAAAGAAAGAACATTGCTGGTAAATAAATCATGCGTCTAGCATGGTATGGCCTATGGCATATTGTCTATACCCCAAACTTTGCAGTCTCTGGCAGGGGTTCCTGTAGCAAGGAGTTTAAATATTATGGATAGCAGTCTGTTCCAAAAAGTCACCTTCAAAGGTGTCTTACGTTAAAAAACAAGCTCATTATGCCTAGGATGGAAAAATTCTAAGACAGTAAGGCATTTTCTCGCCTGAAATTTCTGTATGGTCAACTTCTGCAATTAAATACTCATATTATAATGAGGAATCATAGTTCTCGGTGATATTTTTGCTTAAATTGAATTACATACCATATTGCAGTCATAGCTGGTAATCTTATTGAGCTTGGAAATTTATCAAGGCATTGAAATGTAAAACCTGTACCTTCTATCAGTAGTTTTCATCACAAAATGGGTCACAAAAAGGTTGGTTGCTTCTCGAGCAGTTCACTTCTCTACTACTAGTAGTAGCCCAGTCTGCGAACAGCAGACGTTTCTCTTTGCTCATTGCCGCTGAGAGACGTTTCACGAGAAGGAACGTCTGCGACTAAGCGACAGAAATTCCATGCTGATGACGTAAATCAATGTTTACATAATAAATCCGGTAGTCATGGGGTTCCAAATGCTATAAATTTGTTCAATTTTATGTTTCTCCTGGTCGATTTTGGTAAAGTGTTGTGTTAATCTGCGAACGAGCTCCAGCAAAACTCAAATGCTTTTTTTAGAGGAGACTATATTCCACATATATTGATTGTTTTGTTAGAGATTCATCGCGTTTACATTTGACCTTTGCGCCCTTTTGTCTTTTGTCTGTCATTAATAAACAATAGCTAAAACAATGAAACTACTCTTTCGACTAATTAGCGCTTCTAACCGGATTCCGGAGAGATTTTGTGTCATCAGTATGGAATTTCTGTCACTGAGTCGCAGACGTTCCTCTTCACGAAACGTCCTTCACCTGCAATGAGCGAGGAGAAATGTCCGCCGTTCGCAGGCTACTAGTAGCCTGCCTAGCAGGTACTTATTTGGCTGGTTGTTTGGTGTGTTTTTCGCTTGTGGTTGAGATACAGCAGCGCGAAAGCTCTGAGGTCAAATATGTGGGAGGAGCAAGAGAATTTTCTAAACAATTATCCATGGGTCCCCCGCCGCCTCACTTTGATTTTCAGAAGGTTTTCTTTTAATACACTTTAGGTTTGCAGTAACAAACTATAAAAGTGAAAAATATTTTCTTTGAATTTGGGTTGTTGTTGAAAGAACTGCTACTTACTCAGTACATTCATTTAGTGCTGTAAGCAGTTTGTTTATGGTTTGTGAATTGATTTCCATCATGGCAGCTGCTGTTGGGGAAGCATCGCTTATCTCAGACAAAGCAGCCACTGCATTTGCTACAACCTGAAAATATATATAATTATGAATAATCATTTATAGCATAATCACTTCATATATTATAATAATAATTTTTTAATTTTGGATACCATAGGAATGAAACTGAGACTGCTCATTTTCTAAGCAAGGATGATGAGCTCTTAGAAGTACATGTGAATATGACTGGTTTCAATACAGTGCTTGTTCAATCGTTTGTATGTACATGTATACTCACCATGGGATTTGAATCAGACAAAAGATCTCTCAGTGAGTCAAGAAATCCTTGATCCTCCACCAACTGAGCATTGATATCATGAAGCTTAGCTACACATACAGCGGCTGTCTTACGCACATAGGGATCCTCATCCTTCAGGCATTTACGAAGGGGCTCACACAAGTACTCAGTGATCTTGTCAACACGGATGCAGCCCATGGTGCGAACAGCTAAGGCACGAATGAGGGGATTTGGGTCCTCACAGTCCTATATATTAATTAAACACTGTCAGTTGTGCTTGTTCATACAGTTGAACCCCCAGCAAGTGGACACCTTTCAGATGAAAGAAAGTGCTTCCTTCGCAGAAGTGTCACCTTAAGTTCTGAGGATTTCTTCAGGGGGACGGGGTAAGCCATAATCATTTATGATTTAGCACCTGTTTTTCCCAAACCTTTGCAATGTAGCCAGATGTGAAGCTCTGGAAGCACCTTACTATTTTTTTTTTTCAGTTGGAGTTTTTAAAACAGGTAAATGTTTTGTTACCTTTTGCCTTAAAGTCATTACCATACCATGAGAAAACAGAAAACAAGAAAATAATCTGGGTTAAAAGTTTTCAAATCTAGAGGAATACTTAAAAAATGTTTTTATTTAACACTGACAACATACTAAAGCTAATATATTGATAATAACTGACCTTGACAAAAGTATTCACTGCCATGATTGCCATATCAGGTTGGGACTTGGCATAGTTCATAAGATAAAGATAGACTAACTTCTTCAATTCCAGATTATCTGTTTGCATGCAGTTCACCACATCTGGAAACAAGGAGCTACAAAATAAAATGAGCCTTTTAGTCATGATTTGAAACCAAACATTCCTGGAGAAATGTTTCTAGAAAAGTTTTAAACAATATAATTGACCATATTATATTGCATATGCAGATATATGTGTTATTGACCTAGTGTGAGGTCAAGGTGGCTGGATGTTGGCTTGGTTCCTTCTTGCATTTTTCTGGATCAAGATGAACATGATAAGGCCAATGTCCAGTCATCTTGACTAAACAGACTTATTCAATATAATACTGATGATTTGCCATAATTTTAACACCAAAACAAAATTTTCCTTGCAAGAACAAAGCAGCAAATCCTGAGTGGACTAAATGGACCCCTCTTTTCCTGCTGCGGTAGCCAATCAGAACACAAGGGTCAATTTAATAAAACTTTAACAAGTGTAATTTACAAGCACAGCAGACCTTAAAGCAATAGCTACATTTGTAAATTACAAATTACACTTGCAAAAGGTCAACAAGTTGACCCCAGGATTCACTTAATCTTACCTGAGGATGCAGACAGCCATTTACAAATTAAGGTACTACCAAGGTTACACAACTTTGATATCAAATTATCACAAAAGGAGCATTCTACCTGACATCTTTTCCAACTGTCATACTTGCTATGACTTTCTTCACTGCCTCCTTCTTTCGATCTTTCTTGTCACTGTTTAGCTCAGCTTTGAGCTCAAAAATCTCCCCTAAAATTAAGTGCACAAGTGAGAGTCATACAGTTTTTGCCTTCTTTCTTAACTACATTTTTTAATGCAATACATAATATATTATCTAAATAACCACATGTAAGGCCGATTATGATATTGCTTCAAGCTTAAACATAATGGAAGAAAAAATGCTCTGGCTCAGGTCAGCATGGATCATGTGGCTTGAAGACCACAACCGACAAGCAGATCATGATCATGAGAGCTGAACCTGAAAAGATGACCGCTGATTATCGCCATCTGGGAAGCCCCAGCCACCGACATTACTCAACTTGTGCAAAGTGGAGGGGGCTGACCACTGAAGACAAGCCCCTGTTTGTGGAACAAACAGGCCAAGAAAACAATGGCAATTGATATTACACAAAAAACATATGCTTCTTGTTGTTAACTATAAGTTTAAATCCACTTAACTAAATCCGTATTTTATTCAAGGTTTGAAAAAAAAAAACTTGAACTTCAGTTTGTCTAAAGGACAAACTATTCTCACATTTTGCTTGTTCCAGGGTTGTCAGAAAGTTTTGAAGTAGACAACTGAGTTGTCAAAGTAAGCAGCCAGCCCAGGGATATTTTATTTAAAAAACCCTGTAAAGAAATGCTGAGCAGAATAGCCGGCCGATACTAACCAAATAGGTGGTGACTTTTGCCGGCAGCCGGCTACTTTTGACAACCCTGTGTTCAGGGTCTGTTGAATGCTTGTCTTATAATTAGTTAATGATTTAGGGAGCAGATGACTTGCCTGGGCTCTTACCCATCGGCAAGTGATAAATAAGCGTTACTTTCACAAAAGGAAAACCTAGTTTTTGTGGATGACTGGAAAGGAATTTTTTTTGCCAAATACATTTAGAGTTGCCTACTAACCTTTCTTGGTAGTGGTAAAGTACTTAGAGTCTGTCATGATGTCTGCAATAAAAATAATTATAAAAGTAAGGAAAAGATTTTAATGCAATTACCAATATTATCATCTTGTATTCTATAGGTTGTCACTGGGGAATAGTAACACCATAAATAACAAACACATTGTGTTACTTTGAAGTTGTTCTGGCTCAAAAATGGGACCTCATGACGTAAAATATTATTTTATGAGGAAAAGATCTAGACTTACCAAGAATCAATAGCAATGACTGTTACTGTTAAGCAGCTATAGTAACTTATGATATGCCGTGTTTAGTAATTATGTTCAGTTGAATGTATTGCTTCCTGGTTGTCAATTCAATAAAACTTCTACAAGGGTATTTTTTACGAGCACAGACAAAAGCTGTGCTTGTAAGCTGCACCATAATAAGTTTTACTTAATTGACCCCTTGTGTCTTCTTCATGTAGTGAATTGAATATGACGTTTTGTAAATGTGTTTTGTACAACTGTTACAAAATAATAACTTAAATTTCATTATTTACCACAGTGAAATTTCAGGGAAGGGCCGCCATAGGTTATCTTATAGCAAACACGTTCGACGTTCTTTCTCTACTTAGTTCCTGTGGTACACAAACTGAAGACAACGCTTTTTTTGCTATCTTTTGCAAGTTTAAAACTCCTCGAAGGCCGATATGATATCCGTCAACCTGGTGTCGAGGGGGTGTTGCCGGCACCAGCTACTAGCATACATTATGTGAAATTCATCCAAAATTTAAAGGCACTGCAAATTCGGCATAACCGTCAGATACTACAGTAATACCGTGCGAGCACAACTGAACGGTACAAAACGCAAAGCGAAGTTCTCCAAGCATATACAATGAAGAAACTTTGGAAAAGAAAGTGCAATACTCTGTTAGCTGAGGTCAAAACAACCGTAGAAAAACATAGAAATTTTCGAGCGAAAAAGTCACAACAGATAAAACAATGAGGTTAGAACATTAACGAAACGTCACTGAAATTTGTAAGTTCGAAAACAAGGACTTATTTACCTCAATCAATCCGATGGAAACAGATTCTTGTCAAGAAGCTTGCTCAAGGAAACAAACCAAAATGGCGCCTAGCTATCATTCAAACCCAGTCTCCACTCAAGTGCGTTCTTGTCACGAAACGCGTGACCAAAAAAATCGGGCAATTTAAAGAGACTCGGGGAGGAGGTACTTTTGACAGAAAAATAGTAAAAAGAGTAAGCCAGCAAAATGAAGCAAAACGAATAAAAAATAAATGCTGTTAGTCCGAATGAAGAGGAGAGTTACGATGGCTTTTTGGGTTTTAATACATGTATTAATCCTTCCTATCCCGAAGGAGAAATCTCTGCCCTTTCACAGGCTAAAACTTACAGTAATATCTAAAAATTTTCGATACACATCGTACAACTTCTGCATCTGTGACACAACACGCACAGCTAGCTTACCAGTTTTTGTTTTGCTTCTTTCCAGGCCCTAAACTTAAACGGCCCCACCGTCCGAAGGTATGCGGAGGCTGGGTACCAGTACTCCAAACAAATCACGCGCCAAATTTCTCTGCTTTTCAGTGTGGCTAATGGTGATCCAGCCACGCTGACAGTTTTCGAGGTGGGAGAAAATGTCGTCAAATCTTGCAAAACAGGCGAGTTTAATCTTAGATGATGGCACCATATATAAAGGAAAGCTGTTTGGAGCCGCTGAGTGTGTCGCTGGCGAAGTGGGTAAGGCTAAACTTCTTCTTATATGTAATATATGACGAGTTGATTTCAGTACATCCCGACTGTTCGAATCGAAGCTACTGACTTACTTTCAGCAGACTTCTTTAGAAGTTATTTTGTTTTATTGCTATTTATTTAAACTAGAAAAGCATTATTAGGTCTTCTTTTTCGAGGATAGCGTTAATTTTGAGCTATTAAAGTGTAAGTTTTGGCGAGTTTCAATTCGTGACTCGCTAGCGCTGTTGTCGGTACGTTGACAATGTAGTGTTCGAGATTGGGAAAATGGTTGGAAGTAAGGAATAAATTTACTTTGCCACTTTAAATTTAGCTCCATAAGAGTCATAGGACAAATTCAATCGGAAATCAAAAGAATTAATTGAGGTTATCGGGATTTTTTTTACGTAAATTCGAACCCCGACTTACCTAACCAGTCCGCTGCTGTTGCACGTGGATTGAAATGCTCATTTTAAAAAGATCCCGTATGTGAGGCAAGGAACCGGATGTTTGTGAGTTACCGCAGGAGCATATCACAATAGGCTCCTGGTTGCCGGAAGTGTTAGCCGACACGTACACGTTGGATGGAATGTTCATTTTATAAATTCACAAGCTATAATAAAAAATGCTTAGAGAATTTAACTTCTTGAATTCAATAAATATATTTCTTAGTTCAAAATGCCTTGATTTAAATTTGTTTTTTGCTTTTTGCTATTTTAATTTAAAATTAGTAAACTTTATTACAAACAGTACAATTGATTTAAATTTTGTTGAAAGTCATAGTTAAAAGAAAACCTTGCTTTACAGCTTAACTTGTGCATAAAATGCATTAAACAAAATTTAATGGAACTTGGTTTATTACTAGATTTAGGGCAAACTTTATCGTGTGTCCATGTAATAATCATTGGCATCGTTTTTGTTTTAGTACTTCTTATAGACTGAGAAAACAGGCGACATTTTGTGACACCACCACAAATGACGTCTGAGGAATAAGCACAGAAATTTCATACTGGTGGCACATCACTACCCATGGGTAGTGTTGTGCGATTAGGGACTGTTCATTTGCAATGGTGATTGACATTTTTTCCCTAATGAAACGTTTGATTTCGAATGCTTTTTTCTTTGTAGTGGGTTAGGATAATTGCTTTTTGATGCGTAATAAAGTAGGGGGACCAGGGGCATGCTTCCCCAGGGAAATCTGAACTTTCTGAATGTCAGAAACGCTGGTCTTTGGCATTCTGGTAGGCTGTTTGAAATAAAAAAATATTATTACAAATGCTGTCACTGCAAAATTTGGAGGAATCTTTTGGTGACCATCCCTTTAATTTTCCTCTGACCCCCCCTTCCCTTTAAAGCCACGTCTTTCACAGCTCCCCTCAATTCCCACCAGCCCCCCTTACCTGGTAACAAAATGAACGGTCTTGTAGTATGGAATTTATGTGCTCATTCCTCAGTTGTTATTTCATGAGGAAACCAGTGGTGGTGTCAAAAAATGTTGGCTGTTTTCCGAGTCTATTCATCTTACTAGTACGTGTGTAAAAACTTTGTGATTGCATCTAAAAGTTCCCTTTTGGTGAAAATTAGTGTGAAAACTAATACCACGAACTTTGATACAATGTAAACATTAATAACAAAACAGTACTTTAAACATTAACAATACATCCTTTGTGTAAAAAATAGCAGCTCAAAAAGTGAAAATTTTAGGTAAAAAAAAATGATATATTTATTTGCATAACATTAAGTATATTTCTCTTCCTCTGCTGCTCTGTCTTCTGTATTATCCTTTGCCATCTATAAACCTCTAATTTGCAGTTATTAAATTTTATCTGTTTAACGTACATGCACCTACTGTCAATAATGTAGTTTTTTTCCCTACACTGTAGTATTTCAAACAGGGATGGTAGGATATCCAGAGTCCCTTACAGATCCATCTTACAGATCACAAATTCTCACACTAACTTATCCTCTGATTGGAAACTACGGAGTTCCAGAAGGAAAGAAAGATTCTCATGGAATAACCACTGAGCTTGAATCAGACAAAATCTGGGCATCAGCATTGATAGTGGGTGATTATGTGGAGGAGTACAGTCACTGGAATGCGAAGAAATCACTTTCACAGTGGCTTATTGAAGAGGGAGTCCCAGGAATTAGTGGTGAGTTGATCTTTGTTATCTTTTGTTTTAACACCAGACCGAATCCATTTTATCCCTCACAGAATGAAGAATGAATGTTATAAAAGGCTGTTTCATTTAACCTGGGGGAGTGGGGGGAGGATAATCAGTCTTTAAATTTTTGGATAGAGGCATATGCCCCCAGGACCCTAGAACTCTCAGCTTGTCCTAGACCATTGTTAGTTGCAGTTTTCAGGGTTGTCACGAAGATTTCAAGTTGCCGGGTAAATACAACAAGTAGGCGGGGAATCAAATGGCTAGGGATTTCTTTTGGTTCTATTTTTCTTCTATTTTCCAATAAAAGTAGCCGGGGGTCTTGATGACAACCCTGAGTTTTGCTCTCCTATTCTAGATTAGGCTCCAAGTGTCTCTACCTTACCCCAGACTAACTGTGACCAGAAACTACATTCTTTATACATGTGGTTAATATTTTATCCTTCACCATGGCTCATACAAGTACCTATTATAACCTTAATGCCCACATCGCAAATGGAGGTGAGGGGTCAAGGAACTACAAACACAATCTTGTTCCAAGATGCTAGAAAACCTGACTGGTGTGCCTAGAATGGTAACCCAGCCTGCCCAGCACCAAGCCTTCCCAGTAAAAGCACTCATCACACTAAAGCCAGAAGGCTCAGTTAGAAAAACAATATACAAACCCTGGACAAGGGACCCTGTGGAAAAAGAAGGTGGAGGGGGTTCAGCTGTATAAGGGTGGTACTAACAATGCTAAGTAATATTAAAAATTTAATACCAGGCTATAACAACACTGAACACAAGGCAATCACATGAGGAGAAAATACCTGCACTTACCTCAGATATTGCGGGACAATTAAGGGCCTGCCCTAGTTCTCCAACAACCACACTTCTACTGCATAAAATGCTAATAAATGCTTGAAATTGCTACTGACGAGACTTTTGCTCCTTGTTAATGACTGTTTTTAAAACCATTGATGTTGTTTGCTAGTACCCACCACACAGTGGGACATCAAATCTGTCACCTACACTGGTCTGAGCTCACTTGATGTGCATATTATGGGTGCAGTGATGGTACCATATAGTTGGTCAAAGAAAAGAAATATAGAAAAATCAGGGTGCATTACTGACTGCAGCTACTGATTCAAGAAATAATGACAACCCTGTCTCACATGAACTTGGTAAATGGCCTACATGTAGCTGTAACCGTTTTTTTCTTCTTTTGTTCCAAAAGGATAAAAGCAGCAGAAGGTCATACCAAAAGTTTATAATAGCTTTCATGTATTCGTCCCCTTCCAACCAGTCATATCAGAATAATAATTGACAATGTTAACAAACATTACAGTCAACATATGGATATACTGTAAAGTACAAAAATGAAAACTAAACTGGTGCTCATGCATCTCTCAACTTTGACTGGTTAAAAAACGTTTTTACTGTTGTCATCAAGGCTGTTCTCTAGTAGTGCCCGGTAGTCCCTTGGACCTAACTTTTGCTCCTGGGTGACTAGAAAATCTTAGATTTTTCATAGAAGTCATGTGCTGGGCACTCTGGAGTTCACAGGTTCTTTCTTTTGTTTGAGTGGCAATACCCTCCAGGTTCAGAGCACTACACTCCCTTCAATTTTCCCTAGAGCACAGCCTTGTGTTATTAATCAAACCAAAGAATATGAAGATTTAATGTTCTAATATAATTTAAATTATTTGGTTAGGTATTGACACTCGAGCACTTACTAAAAAGATCAGAGAGGAAGGAATGACATTAGGAAAAATTGTAATAGAAGGTGTCGATCCAGCAACTGTTCAGTTTGATGATCCAAATAAGAGGAATCTGGTTGCTGAGGTTTCATCTAAGGTTTGTAACTCATTGTGGCATTATGGTCCTTTGAATTTTCTGTATAAGCAACATAAAGCACTTCAACTACTTTTTTTTGTTTATACCAGGCAGCGAAGGTTTATAATTCTAGTGGAGAGTTTAAAATCATTGCTGTGGACTGTGGTATCAAGTATAACCAGATCAGATGTCTAGTGACCAGGGGAGCTGCTGTTAAAGTTGTGCCTTGGAATTATGACTTTAATGTTGATGTTGAGAAAGGAGGTAAGCAAGCTTTTCAACTTGTTTTATGTTGTACATTTGTGTCAGCTGAAAGAGTTTTGTTTGTTCTTCTTTGTATGCTCATTTTACATTTGAACGTCTACAAAACACATTGGCACAGCAAAGTTGCTGTTGCAAAACTCCAATCTGCAACAATTTTGTTTCCCATGGCAATTAGAAAAAGTTTTGGCCCCATTATCACTACCATCTTTAAGTACTTGATACAATGTATTAACTTGCAGAGTGTGATGGTGTTTTCCTGAGCAATGGTCCAGGAGATCCAACATTTACTACTGAGACTATCAAGAATATAAAAAAGTTTATTGAGCGTGCAACTCCCAAGGCTCTTTTTGGTATTTGCTTTGGACATCAGCTCTTAGCACTGGCGGCTGGATGTACCAGCTTCAAAATGAAGTAAGATGTTCAAAAGTCATGATACAACTGTCGAATTTCTTACAAACTGTATACAATGTCTCATTGTTCCTCAATATTGAAAACAGACTGCTTGGTGCTTTCAATGAAGCATAACATTCATTTTAGATGTCAGGAATGGCCCAAGTTGGCGTGCATGAGTTTTACATGTAGACAATTTCATTCATGAGTAAATTTATATACTACTTAAGTACAGTACTAACAATTAGGAACTGCATCACTAAAATAACTAATGGGCATCTGAGACAGACAGAAGCTTCAACAAAGGTAAAGGCTGTACCTGATCGTGGCCAATTCTGAAATCATGATTCCCTATACATCAGGGATGACAGGCACCTATCAAAGTGATTGATCGTTGGGAAAGGAGTGAGAAAAGCCAGAGGGGAGACAGCCTTTTACATTTAATTAGATATTGCTGAACACAGGGGGGATGCAGGTTATCTTTGTTGTAATCCTGTTTCATACAGTGAGAGTACATTCTGCATTAAACATCATTTTGTATGAATAGAGTAGGGGAAAAAAAATCAGTCTTGTATTGGCCCAGGTGTGGCTAGGCTGAATTACCAGCAGCTGCTCTACAAATTGAGCTAGCACTTATCTCTGCAAAATGGCTTCCTGAGGAGGAATAAGGGCCAGACTCAACAGGGCAACAGCAATCTTGCCTAGGGTGTGGCTTAAACACTGGAATTTGATGATTTTTCTTCATCTACCAGTATTCTCTTTTTCCCGTTTGTAGATATGGAAACAGAGGACACAATATTCCATGTGTACACCATGGAACAAAGCGCTGCTTTATTACAACACAAAACCATGGTTTTGCCATTGATACAAACTCTCTTCCACCTGACTGGTCTGTACTGTTCACAAATGCAAATGATCAAACAAATGAGGGTATCATTCACAACTCCAAACCTTTCTTCAGTGTCCAGTTTCATCCAGAGCACATGGCTGGACCACAAGACCTAGAAATGTTATTTGACATCTTTTTATCATCAGTGAGACAGCAAAAGGAGAATAAAGAACTGATGATCCCAGTCAAAGATCAAATTCAGCATGCTTTTAAGTTTGAACCTTTGTTGTCTCCAAGAGACAAGAAGCCGAAGAAAGTCATGATTCTAGGTTCTGGAGGTTTGTCCATTGGACAGGCAGGAGAATTTGATTACTCTGGCTCTCAGGTATGCTATAAACTATTTTTTGTAACATTTACTCTATATGCAAAGTCACAAAAGTTTTGATCGTCATCACATTGCTACCTTGCTGTCAACAGCTATCACTTCTTCATAAAGGGGTTAAAAAATGAAACACAAACTTACAACTACTAGAACGTGTTATTTTCTACACAAAGAGGGCGGTAAACAAGTCCTACATGTATTATTGAGAGAACCATCACTTTTGCAGGGTTGTTTAAGCTCTACTTTTGGAGGAATAAACATAGACTACTTATGATGGACCCTCTTCTTCCCACCCTTGATCAGTCGCTCTCATTTAGTTTATAAATGTGCTTCTTTTATGTTTTATTTTTAACAGGCAGTTAAAGCCTTAAAAGAGGAAGGGATTCAGACAGTTTTGGTTAATCCCAACATTGCTACAGTTCAGACTTCAAAGGGTCTGGCTGACAAGGTGTACTTCCTACCAATTACTGCTGACTATGTTACACAGGTGAAGATTGAAATGTCTAAAAATATTGTTTTAAAAAACTAAACCATTCATACTAACAACTTGCCTTAAAAAATTACTTTATAGGTATCATCTAGCCTTCAGGGCCATCCTCATGCGGATTGCATTAGGAATTGTGGTTTTAATAAATTTAATACTCCCACAAACCACGGGGTGCAAAGAAAGTAGTGTTTGATAGCCTGGGGTAGTGGATTTTGCTGTCGGGCTAGTGAATTCTGTTCCTAACTTGCTTGATGGGGAAGTGAAGTTTTTTGGGGGAATTCAAATTACTGATGAACTGAAATAGTGACTGTATAAAGTGTGAGCCAGTGAGCCATGGCAGCAAGCCATGCAGTCCATTGAAGACTCATTAAAAAAATACAAAAAAAAAAATTAAAAACAGTAATATAGAAAACATTAACTGAAAGCTAACCGTTGTAAATAAGTATAGGTAGATTTAGGTGGAGATAGACTGATGTATTCATAAATTTAAGTCCAGGCTAGCCAAAAACAAAGAGAAGAAACTGATTAAGATCACATTCGCTTCTTGACAAGATATTTTTTTTCATTCTTTTAAAGGTGATTCAGAGTGAACATCCAGATGGTATATTATTGTCATTTGGAGGACAAACAGCCCTGAATTGTGGCATTGAACTACAGGAGAGTGGGGTATTGGAGAAGTATGATGTTCACACTCTGGGTACCCCTGTCAGGTCTATAGTGTGTACTGAGGATAGGAAGTTATTTGCCGAGAAACTTGCAGAAATAAATGAGCAAGTAGCACCCAGTTACGCTGTGTATTCAGTGGAGCAGGTAAAACTTCTGTCTTTGAACTGATGAAACCCAGGCTAATATTGATCTTAATGTGTTATGGGAGGGTTCATAATTGATGTAAGGGGGTGGGGGGGATGCTATGGTGATTTAAGTTTTTTTTCTGGAGCAATTTTTGGAAGCCCCCCATTATTTGATGTGCTTTTTCCTGGCCCCCCTTGTTCCATATCCCACAACTATAGACAATGTACGCCCCCTGCGTGCTCCCTTTAAATCCCCTCTCCCAAGCCTCCTAGTGACACAAAGAGATCCCTGCAGAAGAGAGAGGAAGGCAGTAGCAGTTTTTTTTTATCATTGAAACTTTTGTGATGGCCCCCTGACTTCTACCTTCAGTCACATTGGCAGAAATTTTTGATACCCCCCCTAAAAACGAACTAGAAAAACTCATGCCCCCCCCACCCCCCTCTACATGAATTGCTACCCTTCCCTATGCAGATGTAAGTAGTGATTTTTCAATGACATTTTGGAATGCAAACAATCTGGACCCCTCCCTCACCTCCCACATCGCCCCCAGTCAAAGTTGGTTTGTTCATTTCCTACCAGCACATTTAGCAGGAACAGTGGTACAACGATATTTAGGGGGAAGACCTGCTGTTTTGTCCTTGATGTACATAGTGTCATTAAAAAAACATTAGAATTGGTGTCAAGGTCAAAGTGTCTCGACTAATTTTGTTTCCAATTTTATTGTAGCTCTGACACCTACTTCAAAAGTTTTTAGCACTCCAGAAAATGCATTTTGTAATGAAAAAATTGTGAACCATGCTTTTCTTTTAAAATTTGCTAGGCTGTTGCTGCTGCAGAGAGTCTTGGCTATCCAGTGCTGGTGCGTGCAGCCTTTGCACTGGGAGGTCTTGGCTCAGGGTTTGCGGAAAACAAAGAAGAACTTATCTCTCTTGTCACAGCAACTTTTGCTCATACCAAGCAAATTAATCTTGACAAGTCCTTGAAAGGATGGAAAGAAATAGAGTATGAGGTGGTCAGAGATGCATATGACAACTGCATCACGGTAGGTATATGCAGATATATTGGACTTTGTTTGGTTCAGGCATCTGGGATGCTCACATGTACTTAACGTTAAGCACTGGCTGTGGATTATGAGCCTCCTACCAGTACTGTTGGTTCCTCAATTTGCATCTGATAAACTGCTACATTCTTTCTAATTTTCCTTGTATTTGCATGTGAATCAGATCTAACTTCAATTTACATAAAGTGCTAGAAGTACAGAATGGATGTAATTTCCCAAATTGTGATCATATACACATTGACTCGAACATGTACACTTGATATCAAGACTGAAGGGGTGAAGGTATAAAAGCCCCAAGGGACTTTTATTTAGCATGTGTACAGCTGCCCTTTCCCTGCAAGCTACCTTTATTAAACTGCTTTAAATTCTCTTTCATCAAAGGGTGAATTTGACATTGCATCACAGGGCTCAAAGTTAGCGACTAACTGGTCGCATATGCGACTGGATTTTTGGTTGTGCGCCTAAAAATTCATGTGTAATCGCACATGTGCGCCGTAAAACCCAAAGCACAGTGCGACTGACTGACTTCCGACTATACTTACGAACTCGAACTAGAAAGATGGTGTATGTTTAATTGGTCTTTTCTCCCATTCTATGAACTCGAATGTTCTTTTTCGTTTTGATGTTTTACTCCATCCCAGACTCTTCTGTTTTGTAATAAACACCGCTGACACATTCAAATATATGCTACGGACGAAACATGTACTTTTTGTGCAATGGACGATCATGTTGAACGTTCAGTTTTAACGTCAATCAAAACAAAAACAGTGCGGATTAAGAGCCTTTTTTTCCAGGTAAGAAAGTTTTTTAAGTCGTATTCCAATTACATGTAAGTCATTGCGCATTTAACAAATTCATTAACGATTAATTTTCATTCTCGTTTGACACACTCGTTGTTTTTCAAGTGTAAGTTTTCTTTGGTCACAACTTTACTGTCAAAAAGAGAAATTAGTATTAAAAATCACAAAGGTATTACTGCGTAGCAAATCGGCTGTGTTTTATCAATCACAGGACTGAAGTAAAAGTAACAAACTGAAGATGACAAATAAACGTGGCACTGTTAAGCATTTTACTTTTTCTTTTGAAATAGATGCTCCCAACATTATAGGCTGTGCTCCTAAAATTTTCAGCTGTGCGCCTAAAATTTCGGCAGTGTGCCTGAAAATTTACATCTGGTAGCACAAGTGCTCCCAAACTCAAATTTAAACTTTGAGCCCTGCATCAAGAGCCACTTGCGCTTCATTCCAAGAACCCTTTTTTCCCTTTTCACTCATCCTTGATCTCTGTCTAGGAAGAAGATCAATTTTTCAGGGTGGACACTTACTCATGATAGTGTGCTTGTTCAAGTAGAGGAAGCTTCCAGTTGGCCATGTCTGAGTTCCAAAAGCTCTCACTTTCAAAACAAGACTAAGTGCAAATCCTTTCTTGTGAAAATGAGTTGTATTAGCTTGAGAATAAAAAATCATTTTCATATCATTCAATAACCTCGCACTTAGCCTCGCTTGGAAACAGAGGCTATGTACAACTCAGAAATGGCTTATTTAAATTCCATCTGTAACTGCATATTCCATTTTTTTGAGCTATTTTGAAAAAATAGCTCATATGTCAGTGGTGTGAGCGTATGTATCTTTGTGGCTTTGTATCTTTGTAACTTTGTAACTTTGTATCTTTGTAACTTTGTATGTTCGGATGTTTGTTGCAAGAGCCAATAAGGTTGAAGGTACTATGAGTTGATGCTAAGGAACCAATGAGATCTCGGCATCTACTTAAAAATCACATTGCTAAAGGTCGAACAAGGGCACTTTAAGACCGCCATCTTGATTCTTTACAATTTGTTCGTCTTTTAGTACGGCTACAGGTGTTTGGAAACATTATATTAAATATCTTCATGATTCAAACGCTGTGTACAGTGATGCAGCTGTTTAAGGGTTCATATTTTAGTGTGGATGCTACTTCAAGACATTTCTGACCGAATTCGGCTATCGCGAACGGTACCACGCACGTATTTATGAGTTGTGTTTCACCTGCTTCAAGGTAGAGTATAAACGATCATATATTTTCAAACCTCTTCCAGTGAAGCAATAATTGATATTTACTGAGATATGGACTTTAATTCGAAAGTATGAGGCCTATAAAATGTGGTTTTAGAAGTTTGAAAAGCAGCTTATTTTTTTAAAAGCTGTACCGAGTATTGTTACATTGTGTAATCCTGTAAACAAGCTGTAGAAATATCATTCTCTCGCTTACAAAGTTCAACAGACCTTTTTCGTTCCGGCAAAACAACAACAAAAAGGAATAATAAGTGAACAACATGATACATCCTTCCTGCATACTAAGCATTATAGTTATTGAAACGTATTTTATTTAGTAAAGATGCGTATAAACTTAAGTAGAAACAGTAGCGTTAGGGAATAAAATTGGAAGAAGCTAGTTGACACAATAATTAGGTACTGCTTTATTGAGTGGAGTAACATGATATGAGCAGAAATATATTTCGGCAGTTTGATAATTTTCTTGGAAGTTAATAAAGGTGAGGCTATCAACCTTGACGTTGCATGAAACATAATTTAATTGCAGATGTTGTAATAAGGTCGAGGTGATTTCTTAAAATCGCTTGAGAAAATTTTGTAGTAAACAATTTGCGTTTTTTTTAAGTACGAATTGTAAAAGGGCCAAAGACCAACATCTTCACATGCAAATCGTGTGCATGAGTTATTTTTATAACTTTGTTTACTCGATTACTGTGTGATAACTCGAATTCCCTCACGTACGAACCACGGAAGGGGGCAAAGTCCAACACTTTCACGTGCCATCTGTGTGACTGTACATCTCATGCAGATTGGCTTTTCACAATAGTAATAGTGACTTGAACGTATAAAGACCTGTTTCGTTTAGTAACCAATGCCCTAAAAAAGGCTTTTGTCTTTTAAGAAGCAATAGCTTTTAAAACATGAAGAAATAAGTTGTCGGAGTTAAAGACTGTCTCACAAATGTTAATAAATGTTAGGTTATCAACCTTGACGTTGCATGAAACATAGTTTAATTGCAGATGTTGTAATGAAGCCGAGGTGATTTCTTAAAATCGCTTGAGAAAATTTTGTAGTAAACAATTTGCCTTTTTTTTAACGTACGAATTGTAAAAGGGACAAAGACCAACATCTTCACGTGCAAATTGTGTGCAAGAGTTATTTTTATAATTCTGTTTACTAGTTTATTGTGTGATCACTCGAATTCCCTCACGTACGAACCACGAAAGGGGACAAAGTCCAACACTTTCACGTGCCAGCTGTGTGACTGTACATCTCATGCAGATTGGCTTTTCACAATGATAAATAGTAACTTGGACGTATGAAGACCTGTTTCGTTTTGTAACCAATGCCTTAAAAAAGGCTCTTGCCTTTTAAGAAGCAATAGCTTTTAAAACATGAAGAAATAAGTTGTCGGAGTTAAAGACTGTTTCACTGAGTAGAATCGCACGTGAAAACCTCGTGAATTATGATGACGCAACCATCTACCTCAATGATAAAAATCCTGGTATTTCGTAACTATTCAGTATTTGATGAGTCACATTTTGGCTTAAGAAACTCCGAGGAAACCTTAGAGTTTTCCTTCTAATCAACGTTTGGTGAGTAGAAATTTATTTTACTTTAGCAATTTGTTTAACTTGCACCAGATGTAACTGGGAAAGACAGAGGAAAGTGAATACATAGGTTGAGGATCGACTCAGCTGAGCGTTTCGCGTTTTCATTTATGTAGCGCAATACCCAATTTCGCCCAAAACCCAATCTACATTTAGGATGAAAAAGGTAGATTCATCACTCTTGGTAAGGTTACACCGAAGTATTATAGTTACACTGAAGCATTCAAAATAGCTCATGCACGTTGAACGTGCCTATGTTTTTTCTTAGGTTTGTAATATGGAAAACGTGGACCCATTGGGAATTCACACTGGTGAATCTATTGTTGTTGCTCCAAGTCAAACCCTGTCCAATGCTGAATACAACATGTTGCGTACAGCTGCCGTCAAAGTTATCAGACACCTTGGGGTTGTAGGAGAGTGTAACATACAGTATGCACTTAATCCAAACTCTAAAGAGGTAATAATGGTTATTTACCATTTACAAGGGCAAACCAGTTAGTCCATGGTTTAGGCAAATGCTACGCAAAATTCAGGACTGGTAAATTTTGTCCCAGAATCGCATTTACCATTTGTACAAACTGAAACTGGTATCAAAGATGGCTTTGAAGAAATGGAACACGAATTTCTTCTTGGAATATTCCATCCAGAAAAACAGGACTACCTTTTCAGATCTTCCGTTGCTTCCCGAAATTTTCTGCTGGAATGACCAAAAAAGTCATGTTCTATTTACTTTCCAACCAGATTTTCCGAAAACTTTTTGTAAATGGTAAACAACCAGTATTTCACTTTTGGCTCTACTGTCACCTGTGCCAGCCAAAAATGTTGCATCATTCGGTTGTTCCAGCTAGGTTCATATCGAAAAGAGGTTTTGCATCTAGGGGGGACCCCTTGATAAAAATGATGAGGCTGATTGTCATACCTTTGTAGTTTAAAATGCGCAAATGGGTAATGCGTAACCAAAAGAAGGGGCCTTTATGGCATTGACCTTAAAAATAGCAGGAACTGTAAGTAGTTTTTTTGTTACTTAACTGCATGTATTTTCTCACTTATCATTATTTTACTTATTTACCGGTATTTACTGTTTGCGAAAAGGAAGGATTAACATTTCTCTATTTCCTTGATTTCAGTACTTTATCATTGAGGTCAATGCACGACTGTCTAGAAGTTCTGCGCTTGCATCTAAAGCCACTGGATATCCCCTTGCATATGTTGCTGCAAAGTTGGCTCTTGGTAAACCACTTCCAGAGCTGCGCAACTCAGTCACCAACTCCACAACAGCCTGTTTTGAGCCCAGCTTAGACTATGTTGTAGTAAAAATTCCTCGCTGGGACTTGAGTAAATTCAATAGAGTTAACACAAAGGTATGAGAGTCTAGTTTTCCTGCAGCTGATTAATTTACTTTAATACTTCATATAAGTGCAACCCTCTGAATTAGCAGTATCTGGGCACCCCAACCCTCCTTACTGACTATAAATACTGTATTGTTTATGTATTAATATTTTCAGTCTGCCCCAGGATAGGACAATATTATTATTTTATTATGTAAAGACTAATGAAATACCAAGTGAGTTTTCGAGTAAAAACATGATGTCTTCACTCGTGAAAAAAACACGTCATTTTCACACACAGAAAGATTACCATTGCTATGGCCATGTAATAAATCTGCCCTTTTGCAGCAAAAAATCTTGAAGTGAAATGGTTGGTATTTCATTGGTGTTTTAATGATGAAAAGAATATCACATGGCCACTTGGAGACACGAAATTTCTCTTCTCGTGATGAAAAATATTTCACTGGTTTGCTGCACTCACTCGTTAAAAATTTTTTAACACTCGAAGAGAAATTTTGTATCTCTGTGCAGCCATGAAATATTCTCTTTATGCAGTCACTCAAAACATTGAAAAAGGGACAATATCAGTTTAAGACTACAGAGTGAAATAAGTGCTCTCGTCTCCCAAATGGAAGAACATGATAAATGAACAGGGCACTGATCCCATTATTTGTGCTATTCATCATGCATATTTACTGGTGACACTTGAGAATAGGTAAAGATAAGTTTTGCTTAGGATCAAATTTTTCCTCTGCTTCTGGAGTCAGTCATCATCAATACTTTATTTTTCTTAAAATAATACGTGTATGATACTTTATAGATTGGTAGCTCAATGAAGAGCGTTGGTGAAGTGATGGCTATTGGACGACGTTTTGAAGAAGCTCTTCAGAAAGCTCTTAGAATGGTGAATGAGGCAAACATGGGCTTTGACTCTCATGGTGTGACCGCATCTGATGAGGTAACTGAGAGTGAAAGGCAGTTATTTTTCCCAGTCATCCTCTTCTTAGAATCTAAAGCTCCCTACTTATTGATTAAATCCTGAAAATCCTATGGATATAGCTTTCTTTGTCTTTGCCCAGGGTAATGTAACAATATCATACCTACAGTACATGTATTTTGAGGCTTCATACATGTAACAATACAGGCTACTCTAGTGCTGTTATTGTCAACTTACTGATTTTGTCCATTTCTTCATTATTTAACAGGACTTGATGCAGCCTTCAGATATGCGTATTCACGTTCTTGCAGCAGCATTCAAACAAGGCTATAGCATTGACCAGCTGTATGAACTTACCAAGATTGACAAATGGTTTCTAAATAGAATGAAATGTATCATGGATTGTGCACTGAAGCTAAAAAGCTACAGGGAGAACACAGAGGTAATGTTAGATCTTCTGATAATGGAATCGTAATGTAACTTAAAATTTGCAGATTTTGAGTTTGGTTGCTTTTTTACGCCGGTGTAGTTGCACCTTACAAATTACTGTAAAGTTCAGGATGATCATCATCAACTTTATTTCTGCTCCTTCTTTTAATAAGACGTATTATTTTTATCAGAATTATTTTATTAGTAACAAATTTATTAAGAAACAATTTGATGACAATAATACTACTTGTAACAATTTTGATAAATTTTAAATATGGGTAACAATGAATTTTGTTTGAGCTGTGATGAGAAAAGTGATTTGATAGCTCTAGAAAAGACAGGGAGGTTACTGGCAAGGTACTGGTAGTATGTCAGTTTAGATTAGTAAGGGGATTAACTCCAGAGATTACACATGTATTTAGGACACTTAACCAATTTATGTAATGTAATTCTATGTTGACTGAATTCACTGTTCACCTTCTTTCTTATTGGTTGATGCACTTTTTAGCTTGGTTCATCGGCATCTTCATCTGCACCTTTAACTCACAAAGAGAAGGTACACACTTCCTTCCTTATATCATGCTTAAGGCTGCTGGTTTTCATGTGATCACTACAGCCACTGAAATTGAATTGATAGAATAATTTAAAAAAAGGTCAGTGATTGCCGTAATTATACAGAAACTTTTACAAGGTTGTGGCAACCTCAACGACAGCTGCAAAGAACATTCAGCTCTATTCTAAGGATCATGGTCTCCATGTAAATGCCACTATCGCCACAATCATTCAGATTCCTGCTCTTTCACCAGTGTAGGCTTTACTAAACTTAATACCATGTACATGTGGTACAAATTTTTGCGAGTTCTATGATTTTGAAATAAGATCCTGCCAAAAAAATATCACAAACATTTTTCCCACAAAAATTTACTCCAGAGTAAATAATTATTCTCTAATTTAAATTAGCTAATCGTGTCTGTTCAATTGGAACTTGTCTCTTTCGTGCACCGCAGATGCTACTGTAATCGAATCTGGTACTGGTTTTACATAGGGGACGCGCACCATAGTATTGTTTGAAAATATGTATTTCCATTGCATGTACTCGATAAAAACGAAAGTATCATCAATGGTTTGTCCGGGACGTTCTGAAAATCGCAAAAATTAATTCCTAGCAAGAAAAACCAATCTGTCCTCAGCAATGTCTTAATTGCAAAAATTAATTCCTGCGAAACGCAAAAAATCGCCAATCCACAAATTGAACGCCCGAAAAAAAATTTCATGCCATACAGTAGTGAAGGTTAACAGTTCAAATTAACATGCACAGTGTAGTTATTTACACAAGGTAGGGTTTTTACTGAGTGAAGACAGTGATCCAAATTTGGAAGTAGCATGTTTTTTCTTAGAGTGGCCAATAGTGTTGTTGAGTTAAGTATTTTGTTATTGAAGCTGTCCAAAAATTAGACTTTACTTTGGCTTAATTATCAGCAGTGTTCCGTGATTGTTTAGTTGTTGTAATGTTTCGTTTAAATGAGTGTTAGGGCAATAACACAGTGACGACTACAAAGAAAATTACCCTGGGGATTTGCTTTTAGCTAATGAAGTTTGCGTATCCCTGCTTTTCAATTAATAGGCTGCAGAGTTGTCTTATGAAGATTTACTGGGAGCTAAACAACTTGGATTTTCTGACAAACAAATTGCAAAGTGTATTCGCAAGTAAGGTTTTTCAGTTATTTTCAGTGGTTTTGAATAGAATGATATAAACTGTCACCTGTACGATGTACATGTAACTTAATTTCATTTAATGCTGATGTCAACTGGCTGCCTGGCTCTGCTAGCTCCCATGGTTATTCCAGGCAGCCAGTACTCTAATTTTTGCTTTTAATATTTTCATTGTTGTATTATTTATTTTTGAGCAAGAGTGAATACAAATAAAGGTTGTTGTTGTTTGTTGTCATTGTTGTTGTACATAAACGCTGCTCACCCCAAAATAACTGACTGGTCAACTGACTGTTAAATTATCATTCTCATATTTTTAATGACCTAAATACAGTACTCGACCTTTTGTGACTCGAGCTAGTGTTAATGCATTTTTTTTTTTATTTTTAGCACTGAAATCGCCGTGCGGAAGGTTCGGCAGCATTTTGGACTCACCCCATTTATAAAGCAGATTGACACTGTTGCTGCAGAATACCCAGCCTTTACAAACTACTTGTACCTAACTTACAACGCACGCGAAAATGATGTTGTTTTTGATGGGGGAGCCTGCATGGTGATTGGTTCAGGAGTTTACAGGATTGGCAGCAGTGTTGAATTTGATTGGTGCGCTGTGGGCTGTATTAGGGAGCTACGGAAGGTAAATTTCAAGGGAAAAGGAGGGGAGGGAGGCTGCAAAACTAGGTGGGAGGGATTGGTATGTCATTACGTTAACGAATAGACGACGTTTTCTAGTCATATTGTCCTTATTTTCAAGTATCCGCATTAGAGATCATTTGACATGTTGATAATTATTGTTAGCTCAGTTAAAGAGCTGGTCTGATGAGTGGGAAGATGTAAGCTCCAACCTGATCTGATCATCAACCTGGGCCTTAAAAAACGGCATTTGCTCCTTGTACCGGACACACATGACGTAAAACGAAAGAACAAAAGCCATGAAGCAATACCAAACAGATTTTTCCTCGCACAGAAAACAAAGCGGTCTTTTGTTTTATGTCATGTGTGTCCAGCACATGAAGTTAAAGCGAAAAAGACGGGTAAGAGCATGCTAGCTGAGAAAGAAACCTTCTCTCAGTGCAGATAGTTGTGTCTTTGGGTGGTGACTGTAAGCTGTTGGCCTTATCTCTTAATTGTTATTATCGAAATCATTATCATCATCGTCCTCGTTTTCACACCATGTGTGCTTTCAAGCCACTCAGATATGTTTCTTTCATTAAATTTGTAAACTTGATTCCTATTGCTAAAGGACCTCTTCTATTTTCAGTTGAAAAAGCAGACTATAATGTTAAATTACAACCCGGAAACTGTCAGCACTGATTACGATGAGTGTGAAAGACTGTACTTTGATGAAATCTCATTCGAGGTGAGAATTTTCTGTTTATATCAGGATATCTCTTAGGAGCAGGATTTCAAATTCACTTAGACCCTGTTTACATGGAGTGGGGTACCCCGGTCTAGTGGGGTAGGTTTCGTTTGTTTTGTGTCCCCCAGAGCGTGAAAACAAAAGAAACCAACCCCACTAGACCGGGGTCCCCCACTCCATGTAAAAAGGCCCTTAGTCCGTAGTGTATTAACTAAATACATTTGTAGCCTTATTTACTCTCTTGTAATTTCCTCTCTACTTACAGCTGTTCAGTCGCATTACGTACTGTTGGAATTCAATTTAATGAGAGTTGTTTCTATAGAATCTATTTCCAGTGAAGCTGGGAACGTTTCATATCGCGTTAATAGAACAGTAGCTACCGTTATCGGCTCTAGGTCTAATTTCGCATTGTGTAGTGTTGTGCATCACTGTGCAGCATAAGTGCGTACATAACATACGTTTGTTTGACTGTTTGCGACATATGTTTTTAACCAATTATAATAAAAAAGAACCTCAGTGGCAACGGAATTTTTTCTTCTAGTGAGAGGCCTTCTAGACCTTCAAGAGGAGATTCTCAGGAGTTCACACATGGAATTGTTTTGACAAAACTCGTTCCTCCATGATTCTATACCACATTGATTTATCACTCAAGGTAGCGTTTTTGTCGTTATTCTAGGTTGTGATGGATATTTATGAGAAGGAGAATCCTGAAGGTGTCATTCTCAGTATGGGAGGTCAATTACCAAACAACATTGCAATGCAGCTTCACCGGCAACAGGTAAAGAGTTAATTCGTAAGAGCTGAGAGAATAATATGCAGTGGTGTGCAAAAATGTTACCGTAAAATTACAGCCACTTTAGCGTGTTCCAGGCCTTCTCCGGCACAAAGTGATGGCAGTAGGAAAAACCACCTCTCTCCCTCTCTTTCTCTCCCCCCCGCCCCCTTTTTTTTTTGCTCTCCGACTTCGCGCCTCACTCCACTCTCTAAACTCCTGGAACAGGCTACAGCCACTTAAAATTTTACATTGAGGAAGATGAAATCATGATAAAGAGAGATGTTAGTTTATTCAAAATAATTTTGCATGTGCAGGTGAGGTGTGCAGTGATTTTGTTATAAATAGTTATGGTGAGTCCTGGGACTTATCTTGTGAAAAATCATGAGTACCAGTCCAGAACCAATGAGTCCCAGTTAAAAAAAAATGAGTCCGAAATTGGAAATGCTTTGGTAACCAGACAGTTAATCTGAAGACAGACTCCAAAACTCTGTATTACAGTATTCTGAAATTTAAATACAGTCCTTCTATTTAAAAGCACAACAAAGGCTAAAAGAAATATGGATCGTTAAACTGACAGACATAATAACTGCCACAGAAATTACGCGAACGGGATATTTCTACAAATACACATGTTCAGATCGTTAAATCGATCAATCTCTGCGTCATACTGGACGCATGCTATGAATTATTTTGCGTCTTCGGGGATAGTTTTAAGCGTCAGGGATGCAGGACGTAGGACGCAGATGTAACAAAATCACTGGGTGTGCACGGTGTACTGAGGCCATGATAAAAGCATTTTTAACTTCTTTTTTATTGGAACTTTGCTGTTTCAGGTTCGTATTCTTGGAACATCGCCAGAGATGATTGACAACGCAGAGAATAGGTTTAAATTTTCCAGGATGTTGGACAACATCGGAATTTTGCAGCCCCAGTGGAAAGTTCTCACCACTCTTGAGGTAAGATAACGATGCAGCTTTGTAATTATTCGTTATATAAAAAGATTTGCGTTTAACAAAAAGTAATTATCAGAGCTGCCAATAAAAGTCGCGTTCTTTTCGCCAGAAGGTCGACTCGCCCGATTGCGTTTCTCCTGACTTAAGACGGTTCCGCCTGCTCTTAAGACCATTCGCCCAAGGACATACAAGACACACAACCGGCGCAGCGCAACTTCCCTCTGTCAAAGAAACCGCTCCTGAATCACCTTTCTTATGTGTGGTAAAAGCACTATCCGATATGGTTTTTGTAACGGCGTAAGAGCTATCCTGTGTTATTTTGTAGACTTAGCCAAAGTACACTTGAAATTTAGCACGAATAATGTATACAAGAACCTTCGACAATTTCACATCATCTTGCAGGAAGCCAAGAAGTTTTGTGCAACAGTAGGGTATCCCTGTGTTGTTCGTCCATCCTATGTGCTCAGCGGCGCGGCCATGAATGTTGCCCATTCAGATCACGACTTGGTTACCTATCTTGGAAACGCGCTGTCTGTATCCAGTGATCACCCTGTGGTCATCTCGAAATTCATCCAGAATGCCAAGGTAACAAGTTCAGTTCTCTTGCTGCTGTAATCTTGGATTTTTTTTAACTCCCCCAAAGCTCACTTTACCCCGGGTACCGGAGGTGTTTGCTCGCGGCGGGAATCTTCGGTGTGGGCCAGGTGTCTGTGAAGGCCGTCACATTCCGGAAACCGCGCATAGCACCCAGGGTAAGCTTGATTATAACAATTGTAAACTTTCCTATGAATCCATGGGAGATAGGTTTCTCTATAGTTTAGCCAGACTCTAAACAGATTGCAGCCTACACTGTTACTTTGTAGATTATGGTTCTAAAATGTAGCTCTTGGCCCAATAAGTTGTTCGGGTCTGTAACCTGAAAATACATATGCTCAGTTCAGTACTAGAAATTGGTGTAAATAAAAGTCCGATAATACAACGGATGAATTATTACGATGCAGTTAACATTGTATTGCTTCAAAACCCCGATGTAGGGTGGGCGGCTACATTCTGAGACGTTTCACGTGACATTCGCATCGTATGTCCTACATCTGCAACATCGGATCGCTCCATAACTATCATGATCTTATCTGTTTTTCGATAAGTAAGGCTGCGCGAAAAGTTGCACAACCCCAGCAGAACCATCTGTATCATTTCAACAATTGCGTGCTATGTGGCATCGGGCGTCCGAACCTCGCGTCACTGAATGTAATATGCGTTTTATTTCTGATTGATTGAGGAACTGGTAGGAGTTTTTTTAAACTGATATCAGAGCGGCATTACTGAGTAAAGCATACGACAAAAACTGGTGTACACGTATGACATAGGCATGTTGAAGACTGTGTGGAAATATCCTTGTATTTTGCTGGTGCCTGCATCTTCCATGTAAAGCAGCCTTTTAACCCTTTGGTGACGGCCAGCGAGTTGCGAAAAAAAACGCATTTTTCACCATTTCCTCTTCTTTTGACTGGTTTTCGGCTAATTAGTGTAAGAATGGCGAAATAAGCAGTGGATTTTTCCCCAAAATGTTACTTTTTTGTGAGTATAACTCTGTTAGGATTGGTCAAAATATCGAAAATGAGGTGTCGGTGGAAAGATTTATCTTTGCTGACGTTGTTGCTTACCAACTTATTAGAACTCTAAATGGGTCCAGGAAGGAGAATATGCATCGTTCCATATGGAACGAAAACGACCCAAGGCGTAATTGTTTCTGACTTTCCATTAAACATTGCCCTTGTGTAGGAGATTGATGTTGATGCAGTAGCAAGCGATGGTGAGGTAGTGGTCATGGCCGTGTCTGAACATATAGAGAACGCTGGAGTACATTCTGGTGATGCCACGATGGTTCTTCCTCCACAAGATCTTAATGAAGAGACTCTCAAGATTATACAAAAGATCTGCTATGACATTGGCCAAGCCTTGATGGTAACGGGACCTTTTAACATGCAGTTAATTGCTAAGGTATGTACATGTTGTCGCTCAATTTTACTCGTGGTTAAATTTTATTTTCTGTTGTTTTCCGTTGTAGTTAATGTTTGACCATGAGTTCAAAGCAAAGGAATTTAGAATTTAAACCAAGGATTCACCCAACTTCTCGTTATGACTTCTGAGAAAATTTAATTTTTTTGCCGTTATACTTTCAGGTGCAATTTCACTTTGCATTGTATTAGTGCCAGCAATATGTATCCTGTCGGTCTCAATACGTTCTATTTTTGCTAACATTACGCGGCCACCCTCTATTAAGCAGCCAGTAATCAAAGTCTCGACATAATTGTACAACTGAAAGGAAATGTAAATTTAGTTTAGTTTTTTAATTAGTTTGACTTTATTTTAAAACTACGATAAAAGAAAATGTACTCCGAGGTAAAAAGTGACGACTGACTGTGGACCAGTAATGCCGATCCCGTCGCCTGTTTGTTTCGAAATAAAGTGATGTTTCTGCTAATAGTTATTTTTATTTAAGACGAGCCTCTATTGAGCGGCAAACCTCGATTAAGCAGCCCCTTGCCGGTACCTCCAGGGTGGCCGCTTAATGTAGGTTCAACTATGTTATGTACTACTGACAAATAAGAGATTTAAGTGGTACAGTCAACTAGGAAAGCTTTGAGACTGGTACTTATAGTGTCTATAAGTGCTTGCTGCTATACTTAGTGCTTTTCAGTGCTCTCTTGAGTTCCTGTCTTACTAGCTAAAAATAAACAAGTCACGTTTCTTAATGGCGCTATTTGTTTGCAGGACAATGACGTGAAAGTAATTGAATGTAATCTTCGAGTATCGCGTTCATTCCCCTTTGTGTCCAAGACTCTTGATCATGACTTTGTTGCCACAGCAACAAGATTGATATGTGGTGTGTCAGTGGATCCTGTGCTGGAATATTCCGGGTGTGGTAGAGTTGGAGTTAAGGTAAAAGGCCATTTTAATACCATTCTGTGAATCACGTAAGGCTTTTTGTACTTTTGGCTATTAAAAGCCACGCCTTTGTCACTGGATGGTGTGCTTCTCCGTCATTTTAATAAGATTTAAGTGCCGCCGCCCCATAGTATCAGCCCTGTTAGTATATGGACCCCATTGCGATCTTGTGTCCCAGAGACAGAGTGTAAGAAAAAATCTAGAATTGTTGGGGAAATGACGTAACTTGACCGTCGTGAAACCGTCGACTGACATTTCCTCTTTGCTTAGGTTTTTCTATGTGAGGGAACAATGGAGGTCTACCCTACCACTCTGGGTCGACTGTGCAAATGGAGCGCGAGACTGTAGAGACGTTAAACTTACTTCTCTTACTGTGCACGTCCACCCCTAAAAAAAGTAGTGGTTTTTAATAATAAAAAAGAGAGAGAAAGCGACTGCTTTATTGTTTATTACTGGAGTCATGTCATTAAAAACCACTATTTTGAGACACGAATAAGACGTTTTCCAGTTGATATTTCAGCGGGATGTCCGATACCAAAACCTACATAAAGAAAAACAAAATAAAACAAAAACGGTCATGTCACCCACCAAAAAATAACACTCCGCAAACTCAGTTAATTTGTTTCCTTTGATTTGTCTTGTGTTTCAAGGTGCCTCAGTTTTCCTTTTCACGCTTGGCGGGAGCGGATGCCATGCTGGGGGTAGAGATGGCCAGCACCGGAGAAGTGGCTTGTTTTGGTGAGAACAGATATGAGGCGTACCTCAAAGGCTTGCTAAGTACTGGATTCAAGATCCCTAAAGAGTGTATACTTCTCTCAATTGGCAGCTTTAAGGTAAGAGGTCGTGTTTCCCCTCTCCTGGCTTGTGAAGAGGATGATAGGAATGTCCCCTAACCTGGAGTGTTCAAACGCAATGTGTTTGTATGACGGCGTTTTGGAACACTTCTTTATTCATAGATCTGTCTCCTGCGAATTATGACTATCCAAGAAATCTAGAAAAACCATGAGCAAACACCTTCAACAACAATAAAATACAAGTCGGAAAAGGTATTTTTATTTTGACTAGAAAGGTCTGGCAGGCGCGACCCATCTTGCTATATTTAACAATAGAAGTACAGTGCGAATCAACAATTTATCATGACGTAAGTTGGTGGAATATGATCGCCCCAGCCGGTAACTGTACAGTAGTCCTGAGTAGGAATGTTGTTGAAAGTAACTGACTTTTTGACAACCTGTGCGGGAGTCATTTTCAGAGTCAATACTTTTAGCCTTCAAAGTATATATTTCTCTGACTTCATATACAACTTTTCAACTGTGCAACCCTCCATTACCTAAAGACACGAGTAAATGTAAAAGTTATTTTAAATGATGATAATCGCTAATATTAGAATAAATTCGTCTTATCTAGTCATTCAGAAACGTTGTTTATGCAGCTTTCAGCTCAACCCCTTCCCGCTGTTTATAACCCTAACAGAACCTCTTCGATGGGAACTTGTTTAGGCAAGTTTTTGCTGATTTTATGGTCAACTAACGTCTTGGATGTCATCCATGTTTTTAGTCTAAAACTGAGATGCTGCCCAGCGTAAGAACTTTGCAAGAGTTGGGTTTTAAGTTATATGCCAGTCCAGGGACAGCTGATTTCTACACAGAACATGGGATAAAGGTCAGTCATCCACATTACTTACTATATGGCTGAATCAGCGAGCGGGCAAGATGGAGCGAATCCTGCATTCTGATTGGCTACCCGAGCGTATCTTGCCCCCCTCGGGATTTTCCTCATTGCTCCCGCAAGAAAAATTTTCTCTTTTAGCCCCGCTGTCTTTTTAAGAGATAGAGCAGCTTATGAACAATGTATTTCCATGTTTGCAGATTAAAACAGTGGACTGGCCTTTCGAGGAGGGTGGAAATGGAGCAAACGAGCGAAGCATTCTGGACTATCTGGCACAAAACAAGTTTGACATGGTGATTAACCTGCCGCTGAGAACCTCGGGCTCAAGAAGAGCATCTTCTTATCTGACACACGGTTATCGTACTCGCCGCATGGCTATTGACTATTCCATTCCACTCATCACTGATATAAAGTGTGCTAAGCTTTTTATAGAGGTAATTGCTATGGTGGAGTTTTTGTGTTGTTTTTGTTTTTTTAACCAAACGTTACAACGACGTGGTCATTATAGTGTGACATTCACTTCTTAGAGTTTTAAGGGCACGCCAGAGAGTGGCTGCTGCCTGGTTATTTGGTTAGCTCAAGTGGTTGAATTCCAAACTGAAGAGCTGTAGGCCCTGGGTCGATTCCCGACGGGACCAACTCTCAGGGTCTCGTTTTACTCTTGTTCAATTTCATGCAATTTGTTTAATGCTGGGGAATTCTTCTGGAGTTGATTCTAAAGGACTGTATCTAAGTTCACGTCCTCAATAAAACGTGAAACTGGGAAGTTTCACGTCGTAGTCGTGCAACCACAGCAAAGAAATGTACAAAAAAAGCGTGATCCACGTGCAGGCTTGTTGTCTTGCCAATATAAACCTATTGCTTTTTTGCCGTTCTCGTTGCCGTCGCCGTCCTCGTTGCTTAAGCTTCCTGTTGTGGGATGTGAACGAACACTAGGGACTAGACAAATGTCTGGCAGCGGCCAACCTTGGGTGTCTATCGCAAATTGCCATTTACATTAGGGGCATTCATAACGCATTAGTTTTAACAATTATTGATGGAGGCTGAGTATGATGTGAAGAATCGTCCCCGAAGCATCTCGTCGGTCGCACGTGAGAAAAAACCTCTCGTACTACCCAGGGTATATTGATTAGAGAACGTTAAACATGGTTATCTCTTTCTGTCCGGTGGTGAGTTTCATGTTCTACATTTCTGGTGAATGGCCACTTTAAGGATTGTTAGCTCATGTCAAACTATTTTCAGTGTTATTTTTTGGACTAAATTATTTTCTTTTTGCCATTTTCAGGCCCTGAAGAGAGTCGGAGGAGCGCCTAAACTTAAGACTCATATCGACTGTATGTCGTCAGGCCGCGTGGTGCGTCTTCCAGGTCTGATTGATGTTCATGTGCACATGCGCGAACCGGGTGCATCTCACAAGGAAGACTTTTCATCCGGGACAGCTGCTGCTTTAGCTGGTGGCGTGACCATGGTATTAGCTATGCCTAACACCAATCCTGCAATTGTCAATGAGTCTGCGCTCAACTTAGCTAGAAAGGTAAGGCGATGGCCTGGAAACCATCCATTGGCAACTACCATTTCATATCGAATAAAATGAACAACAGCCTAGTGTGCGAGCAGGCTATCCCGGGGCGCTGCGACGGTGGGGCGAGAAAGAGGTTTCCGTCTCCCTTTTCCCACCCCCTCGCCCCCGGATGTCCCAGGAGAGCTTGCGCGCAGGCTGATAAAAGCCCGGTACGCCTGCTTCTCATTTTGCTTGACTTGAAAAATGGTGTTGGGTGTACACTGTATATTTACTTCAAAATTCTGTAAGTTTTATCCGAAAATGAGCTGTCAAAAGTTGATACCCAACAGCCACTTTCGTTAAGAAAGTGCCCCCCTTGTAAAATTGAAACAGAATCAAATCTTCAGTTGCCTCGTGAAACGATTATAGTAGATTTCATGCAGCAACAGGTCGCGTGATGGTAAAGAAATAAACGAGTAAACTGTCCAGCCGTTTGAAACAGAATCCTCCTGAATCAATGGTGGTTTTCCTAAGTACGTGTTAGTAATGTGGGGAAGTTTGTCATTTTGCCGCTCGCTTTTGTACGGTGCTTACCCGGTCAGATAACACTGAATCATTGTTCTATTTCAGTTGGCTTCGGCGGGTGCACGATGTGATTACGGTCTGTACGTTGGCGCCAGTGCTGATAACTATTCAACAATCAAGGAATTAGCGCACATGTCCGCTGGGCTGAAAATGTACCTCAACGAGACTTTTACAACACTTCGACTGGATGAAATGTCAACTTGGATGAAGGTACGAACTCTTAAGGCACCCACAGATTGAAGACTTGGCTTGTATCCCTCCAAAGCTCTGAAAAATATGTGCTCTAAAAGTTGTTTGGTGCCGAGCAACAAGCAACCTTTGGATGTTGCCAAGTTGGTAGAAGCAAGGTGGCTAGGTTTGCGTAGTGAAAACTGCAACAAGGGTTTGAGGGTTCTCTGAAAAAAACTACGATTTTCTTTGTTCTGAAGGTTATGCCAGTATGTGTTTCAATGAGGGTGGGGGCAAGGGATCCAAATTTTAAATTCATTCTGTCTAGTCTCAGCGCGTTTTTGTCTTTTCCTTGTTAGAGGAGTTAAAGATGATGATATTTGATATTTTTCTGTCTTATGAAATGATGTTCGCTCAAAAGGTCAAGACTCTACCTTTTCCAGGAAATTTGGATTTAGTTTTCTAGGCTTATTTAACAAATGAACTTGAGCTAAGGTTGGTTAACAATTTCCTATGGAAACTATTTACCTTTCGTGAACCAAACGATCCCAGACATCCCAGTGCCAAAAGGTCGGAGGTGATGACTTAATACATGTTGAACGGTATCCAATCTATTTTCTTGTGCAGCATCTTGAGCAATGGCCTAAACACCTGCCTCTAGTGTGCCATGCGGAGGGTCGTACTACTGCTGCGATTTTGCTGCTGGCAGAGTTGGCCGATAGACCTGTTCACATCGCTCATGTGGCACGCAGGGAAGAGGTAAGAAGTGTTTTTAATGTATTAAAATGAAAATAATAATAAAGAAATAAATTTGTACTTTTCCTTTTGGCTCGATAATTTTCATTTGAATTGCCGCGCCCAATGGATTCGTTTACAATTACATACTCAAACGTTCAATGGTGGCATATTACAGACTGGGCACGCTAACCGTTTTGAGTAGCTGTCACCATTTGCAAGTGGTACATGCTGTTGCAACTAACTTTTATAGTTCTTAAAAGAATACAACAAATCAAATTCAAAAAAGTTTCTGTAGCTCAGTAGGTTTCGTGATCGCACATCAAGGTGTTATCCACAGACATCACGTGACGAGTAGCTTTTCGTTCAAAGCGATAAAAACTATTTCCACCTTACCAGAAGAAGCATTTTTGAAAAAGATCTTTTTAAAACTGTACTTTTTAGGTGCTTGTTATTCGTGCGGCTAAAGAGAAAGGAATCCAGGTCACGTGTGAAGTGTCGCCGCACCATCTGTTTCTAACTGAAGATGACGCCGAGAGAATTGGTATCAAGAGGTCTGGGGTGAAGCCGCCTTTGGTTACTATCGAGGATCAGAAGGCACTCTGGGATAATCTTGACGTAATAGACTGCTTTGCTACTGACCATGGTAAGCTGATTGCATGCAGACAAAACAGTATGTGCGTCTTGTGGCCCAGTAGGGACTTCACGATACGACGACGCGATGGCAGCGAAAACGTCGCTTAAAAAGTGAATTTGCGTTCTTCCAGTCTTATCGCGACTATTCCTACCCATTTACTTTCTCAGAAGTAGGCGTACCTTCCTTGAGTTGAATTACTAGGATCCCTATCCAAGTTCAGAAAGAGAAATAAAATATCGTCGTCGCTTGTTTACGTCTTCCATAAAATGTAATATTAGGAAATTTCTCGTCGTACTCGTGAAAAAACGGTAGAGAAATGTAAAAAAAGTGTGTCGCACGTGCAAAGTTTTTGTGTTGCCTTCTAAACCTAACTGTTGTTGTTGTTGTTTTTTACGGTCTCGTTGCCATCGCGTCGTCGGATCGTGAGGCTGAAGCGGTAACTTTAGGTTGGACCGGACCAACTGGTCAAAGACGACCCCCTCTAGTGGCGCAGGGGTAGTATCTTTTCGGAAAATTTCCACGTGGAGCGAAGCGTTCCATTTCTGTTTCAATGGAACTTTCCGGAAATGTCTCTCTAGTTGGAAAATAACCATTGCTTGTAGGCTTGCCTTTTTGTCGTAGTTCCTACTTCCACTTTTTTGGTGGTAAGGTTTTCGTTGATTTTGAGGTTCACACTGTTGTCTTTTTGATGTGTTTGTTCTGCAGCACCACACACGTTAGAAGAAAAAGATTCTAATACTCCGCCCCCCGGATTTCCTGGACTCGAGACTATGCTCCCCCTGCTGTTAACTGCGGTGCATCAAGGACGGTTAACCGTTGAAGTAAGAAACAGCAAAACTTTGTATCTACTATGGGGACATAAATTTTAGCTTTGTCGAGACTAAGTTGACAGCGAAGTCAAAGTTATTAACACATTTAAGTAGTCACAGACATAGGTCACGAAAAGACGCCGTGCGAACCTGCCGACAACTTTCGGGAACTTGCCGCTAATAGTAAGCGTGGAAAAAGCGCAACTGGTGTTGAGCGCGGGAAAAAGTTCAGCTGCTGTTAAGGGCGGAAAAACTTGCAGCTGATGTCATGTGCGCATGCGGCAAACCTTGCACTCATTTCTTTCAAGTGCGCGGAAACTTGCCACTAGTCTTCTAGAAGGTGCATACAATAAAGCTATTGGTTGTTAGAATTTAAGCAGGCCTTTTCCATTTTCCCTTTTTCGGCACAGTTTTAGGATATAAACAGTGGTTTTTCCTTACAGATACTCCTCAAAAAGTAGATAACATTAGCGAGAAATATGTTTTGCGTATTCGTTCAGTTTTAGTCAGAAATTTAGCTATTTCGTCTTCGGATAGCCTTGAACGTCATTTTCTTTTTTTTAGTTCACTCGTGAATAAACAGCTATTCCTCCGCGCTTGGAAACCACGTTGATTGATAGTCTATTGCCCAAGCAGCCTCGTTTACAATCAAATATACCATCGATCAACCTCGTTTCCAATCAAATATACGATCGATTGCTCGCATCTTTCAAATTTGGTCAGCGCTAGTTGGTTATAAAGAATTAGCGGGAGATTGAAGCCAATCAGAAACGGCGAAAAATTTTGAATTTATAATAATTGTGGCTTTACGGGAAAGCAATAGTTGTAGATAACCATTAAAATATACTTGAGTACGACATATCTGCTCTGAAAGCAATTCCACGTGTTTAACTAATATTGTAGTATTCTATCTGTCCAGTTTATGATGTATTTATTCTTTTGTACCACAAAACTTTCGTCTTAGGATATTATGCTTCGTTTGTGCACAAATCCACGAAAGATATTCAGTCTTCCAGAGCAGAAAGACACGTACGTGGAAGTGGAAATCGGCGAAGAATGGACAATTCCATCAGCCATGACTTATTCTAAAGCAAAATGGACACCATTTGCCGGCATGAAAGTTAACGGCTGCGTCAGAAGGGTTGTACTTAGAGGTGAAACTGTTGTCATCGATGGAAAGGTTTGTCTGAGCTTAACTAATATACTAAATAAATAAATACTTTATTAACGTGTCAAGATCCCTAGCTTACACGCAGTGTAAACTAATTGTGGACAACTAACTACCCACTTTAAAACCCAGACTCAAAAACCCCTGCCCGCCTATCATGTTCAACGCCTTCCCGCTCCATATTGAGTTACCCTTGTGTTTATTAAAGATTTGTAAATGTGTATAGATATTATAAAAAGAAATAAAGAAAATTTATCCTAAGCGTTGCAGAGTTGACCGTTATAACTTCTAACATTCCTCTGAAACGAGGTTCTCAAAGTCCACTTTTCTTACCTGGTTCTTAAAAGGAGCAACTTCTTGAACTCCTTTTGTTTCTTGCAACTCTGAGGAAACATCAGGTGTATTTGATTTCTTGGGTGCAAGCTACCAAGATTTTCGCCTTCATGTCGGGGGGTACTCCCACGTAGCACATTTGCCTTTATTGGAGTGTGTGCACGAAAAACATATCGCTGAAGTCGTAAAATTTGGGCGGGTGAATCTGAAATATGTAATGTTCCAGAAAGAGAGATGCGGTGCCTTGGTAAAAAGTATGTCGTATAACAAGTGTGTTCGGTTGGTGGAAGATTAGTGAGTTTCAAAATATGGCGGTTTGTATATTGAAATATCTTCACACTGAAATGCATTCATCTCCATTGGCGAGGATGGTTAATGTTGTGGTAATTCTTTTTTCAACACATTTCTTGAGGGTAAATATAAACCGAAAAAATCTCGCATTCGCTGAAGCCCAGGGTTAAAAAAATTCCCAGAGTTTGAACACTTTCTTTTCTTCGCTGGCACGAAAGAATGTCTTCTTCGTATCAAGACGAACCGTTTAAAAATTATTAGGGAATTAGTTTCAGAAAAAACTTTTGTGCTGGGCGTCCATTCGTTCTGGCGAAGGGCTAACGCTTGAAACTTCAGCACCTCAATCTTTTTACGGTGTTCAACGCCGTAGATAAAACCATTTTTTTCGCATTTTTAAATTACTCTTATGTCCTGCAATTCACTCGTCTTATTTAACGGACAAAGGAAGCCTTATATTTGATGTAAGTTTGTATCCATTTCAGGTCCTTGCAAGTCCCGGCACAGGACAGGATGTACGGATGATAAGCTCTGTACAGCCACCTCCAATTTACCAGCCCCCTCCCCTGATACCACCTGCAAGTCCAAGAAAGGCAGATGCACGCTGGGCCTTCCCTCCCTCTGTGCATCGGTTTGTTGACACTCATTATGGAACAGACGCACTGGCCTTGCCGTTAGGAGGTACATTTAAACTCATGAATAAAATACAATTTAAATTCAAAACGGAGGACGGTAGACGAGTTTTTAGATTCGCAAAGAGTGGAAAATGCGCCTTGGGATGAGTTGTAGTTTGCACACATGAGAACTATAGGCTTAGTGAACAAAACGACAATTCTGCGTGTTCTTCACACTTTTTTATACATTTCTTTGCGGTCCTGCCCAATAACAATGTGAAATTGCCAAATTTTAAGTTTCCTTGAGATCGTAAATGAAAGGTAATGAATTCCCTCTCTTCCTCTTTAACTTTTAAATTGAAGCTGAACTAGTTGGAATAACTGACCGCCGCCCGGTTAGCTCAGTTGGGTAAGCGCTGGTCTGCCGAGCGGGAGGCTGCCGGTTCAAGTCCCGCCGGACCAACACTCAGGGTCTTTAAATAACTAAGGAGAAAGTGCTGCCTTTGTAAAGACATCTGCAAACGGTTAGACTTTCTAGTCTTCTCGGATAAGGACGATAAACCGTAGGCTCCGTCTCACAATCCTTGCATATATAAATTCTGTGGGACGTTAAAGAACCCACACACTGTTCGTAAAGAGTAGGGGACGTAGTCCCCGGTGTGGTGGTCTATCTCTTATGGGGGGAGGGACTGTTACGGGCCCGCAGTAATTGGCGTCATACTGTTGCGGTGACCCTGCCAATAATTGGCGAATCTAATAAAATAAAATAATGATCGGTACAACAGTTTAAAAGGACGTAAAGGTCAGTTTTTCAGTGATACAGTCAACTCCTTTTATAGTGGACACCGTAGGGACGTCGAGTTAGTGTCCTCATCAGCGAAAGTCCGTAATAGCGGGCTTTTATTTCAGTCAAACGTCTGTAAATTATTTTTTTTGGTGGGATTTAGCTGTTGTCCGTATTATCGGGGCAGTCATCAGCGAGAGTCCGTAATAGCGGGAGTTTATTTCAGTCAAACGTCTGTAATTTGTTTTAGCCGCGGATGTAGCTACCGTCCTTATTATCGGGGTGCCCGTTATCGCGAGGTGTCCGCAAGGCGAGAGTTGACTGTATTTGCATTGGCGGCGCCTGTTGTTGGATCGAGTCTCTATCCAACTGATGTGCGAGACCTGTGCGCGCCTATAAGTAGACAGCGACTGTTATTTCATGTAGTAATTTATTTGTTATTTGTTTAGATGGGACCCCGGATTCTACACCACATTCTCTGCTCACCCCAACCCACCTTCCCCAAGTGACATCTCCAGGAGCTGTTCCTCATGTACCCATGACCCTTCCTCGTGTACCAGCGCATGTGTTCTCGGGTCAACACGTTCTGAGCGCCAGCAAATTTAACAGAGAGCAGGTAAACTGGGGTCGAAATTTTGTCCTGATTTTGCTCGTTATAAAGCTTTCAAGTGAGGAGTATTTTAGCTGGAAATTTAGGTGACGTTATCATTTTTGCCTGTCAGACGCGAACGTGTCAGTTGAAGGTAACCATTTGAAGAGAGCTCTTTCTACTCTAATGCCACATGGTCCATATCCTATCAATAACCTTTTTGATGAGTTTTTCACGACACTTTAAAGTTCGTTATTTTCCCTGAAATTAAAGAGTTGCTTTAACATTGGCTTCTGTGAAAAATTCAATAGAGAAAAAACTTCACGTAATAGCTCGTAGGTATAAATTGAGCTGTAGCTTGCTGTTACCTGTACTAATAGAGCGTGTTCTGTATTCAGCTTCATTACTTGTTTAACATGGCTCACTACATGCGACTCGTAGTGCAAAGGGAAGGAGGACTGGATTTACTCAAGGTAATCATACCGCAAACGGACATTCAGTTTGTACTATGATGATTCATGTCAGTTCTGGAGCGGAACTGTATTTCTTCCTAGTGCAGTGTTATGGCCAGGTTTTCGCTGACAAATGTTCCAATTCGACTTCTCCTCTTTCAGGGTAGGGTAATGGCTTCAATGTTCTATGAAGTCAGTACTCGAACGTCATCTTCATTTGGGGCAGCGATGCAGAGGCTGGGAGGTTCAGTGATATTTATGAAAGAAACCGATTCCTCGGCCAAGAAAGGAGAGAGCTTAGCAGGTATTACGGTTTTTCATGTCTTAACTGAAACTATATCACCCGCCCCACTGCGCTTCCGAGTGTTAAACCGAAAGGAAAACAGTCTGTACAATGTCAGCCTATACATTTTTTGAGTGACGTCAGGATAATAGGCTCCTGGTGATGTTCTTTGTTGTTTTTTCACAGATTCTGTGCAAGTAATGTCCTCTTACTGTGATGTGGTGGTTATTCGTCACCCGAAGCCCGGAGCAGTTCAGGTAAGTTTTGCAAACCTTTGTGCCTACATTTCCCTGTAAAGCGGGGTTTTTTGATGGTCTTGGTCTAAAAATGACCATAGAATTTTGAACAGTTTTGTTGAGAAAGTGGGAAGGGAAGATACCAATCTTGCTCTTAAAATTGATACAAGACTCGCGAGGAAGCCGCTCTAGAGATTGGCGATACCGCGAATCGTTCAAGGGTCTTGCATTTTTCTTGCGGTTTTAATCTTTCTTGGCAATTGCAGGAGGCTGCCGAGCTCTGCCGCAAACCAGTTATCAACGCGGGGGACGGAGTTGGAGAACATCCAACCCAGGCTCTTTTAGATGTGTTTACTATCCGCGAGGAGATTGGTACTGTTAATCGTCTGACGGTGAGAACTCGCTTCTATTTAGCCTCCTTTTCAAGTTCATGTTCAGATTTGAGAGCTTTGCAGAGTTGCATCTAATTTGCATGTTGTGGTTCCTGTGCCGTCAGTGTATTGTCAAACTCAAATGCAAATTTAGACAAAACCGTTTCTACTTAAAGACGGAAAACAGAACGCTGATAAAGGGTTGCTCAAAGTCGTCGTATTGGGTTAGCTACCAGAGACCTTTAGATTCTAAGGCGAGAACGACTACAAGTACGAGATTTTGTGCTCGCGGCGCGCGTGAACCAGCGTCATTTTGGCAGGACAACATGATAGCCATCGCCATTTCATACGGATTTTAGGGAGAATGTCGTAGTGGCGGAAACAAGTTATCAAACGTTAGAAGTTTTATCATTTTGCGAAGGCTTGACCTCGTTCAATTAAGATAACAGTGCTAACTTTTCTTTTGAATCAAAAGTACAATGAAACTTTCCGGGGCGTGTATTTTTTGAAAGTAAGCGAAAAAACGTTCAGTCAAATCTCGTACTTGTAGTCGCTCTCGACCTCCAATTTAAAGGTCTCTACTTCCTCCTTTGGCGTGGATTCTTCAAATGATCACATTATGTTATTAAAGTAGTTCACTTCATTTATCCTTCACTTGCTTAAACTGAAAACACCTTGGAAGACGGGGAAGATAAAAAGGTTGAACGATAGTCTAGTTGCTCTTGATGTTGTTGTCACAAATATGAGTTTTGTTTTTATTTCTTGATTGAAATAAAGGTTACAATGGTCGGAGACTTGAAAAACGGCCGCACTGTTCATTCACTGGCTAAACTGCTCTGCCTTTATGACGTCACCCTCCGTTATGTGTCACCCGCAGCACTTCGCATGCCCGACTCCGTGAAAGAGTATGTGAAGAGCAAAGGAATTCACCAGGTTGGTAATATTGTAAAGGAGTTAAAAGAAAGTTCTAAAGCACTGAACATAATTTTTTTGTGGGCTAACTTTATCTCCTGTTCGAAATTTACGTTGATTTATTTCAAACTAATTATCACGCATTACCATCGCACAAGCAAAGGAAAATATCATTTGAAGCAAGGATAAAATTAAACCACAGCAGTTACTTTATAGAACATGAACCCACATGTTTTATCATAGAGTTATTAACATTGATCATCTGCTAAATACTCGCGTATACCTGATAAAAACTCTTAACTAATCAAGTCAGTATATAGAACAGTTCAATGCGGCACAGATGACTTCTTACTTTCAATTGCTTATTAACTTATCTCAAAGGTGTTTTCCCGAAAAGGTCCCCAGACAAGTCAATGCACTAAGGAACTAACCTTGAATTTGCCGCAAACTCCTGTCATTTTGTTGTAAATTAGCCAAGCAAAGTATTTACTCAGTACCAATCATCTTTGGCCCGTTTTCCTTTTGTTTTCTTTGACAGGAAGAGTTCACAAACCTTTTGGATGCCCTAAATGACACTGATGTTCTTTATGTGACGAGAATCCAACGCGAAAGATTTAAAAGCCAAGAAGAGTACGAGAAGGTTCGTGTTTGTAGTGACTGCACCGAGTTCATCTCCGCACAGAGTATTCTTTGAGCGTATTTTAACTGTTTATTTAGTTACTGTTCATAAGTTTATTTTTAAAGGGGTTGTGTCACATGGTAACCGATCATTTCGCCCCGGTTACTTAGCCTCCTATTTTCGAGTCATTTAGCGCGCTTCAAATGTAATATTCCTCCTTCTATAAGCCACAAAGCGAAATAAGCGCGCTTCATTAAGCAATAGACCTCACTTTCTATGGGTTTACCGGCGTGATAATCCACTTAGGATGTTGGGGGTACATGAGAAAAGCTTGTAAATCACGTGCCGAAGGCGCGTGATTTACAAGCTTTTCGAGTGTTCTCCCAACATCCTAAGTGGGTTATCTTGCTGTTAAACCCATAGAAAGTGTGGTCTATTGCTTTTATAAAATAACTTTAAGTAAAACTATGAGTTTACCGGCACAATAAACCATAGATTTTTAACCAATCAGAACGCGCGTACTATCTCAGTTATTTTATAAAATATAATATTCCTCGTTCTTTAAGCCATAAACCAAATCAAGCACGCTTGAATTGTAATATTCCTCGTTCTAGAATAGGGGGCTAAGTAACCAAGGCGAAATGACTTGGGGGCAAAATGACCGGTAACCTGCACGACAGTCTTGATCATGTTGTAAATATTGCCAATTACACTTCCTTATTCGCAATGGAACTTATCGTGAGCAAACAAATTGCTTGTAAATGACAATATTACTACTTTATGTCAAACAAAAAGAGTGAACTTTGAAAAACTCTTATGCTAACAAGTAATTGCAATCCGTTTTAATCTTATTAAAATTTGTCCACTGGCTCCCAAAATTTTAATTTTCCCCGGGGAGACCTCCAGTTTCCTCCAAGGGAGGAGGAAGGCGGCAATCCCCTTTTCCATACCAAACCTTACACACGAGTAGCTGTCAATCTAATCTATTTTCACCAACTTATATTTTATTTTATATTAGCTTGTATTATGCTAGGGACCCTTAATATAGCAAAGTGCCTGGGAACTTGAAAATTTTGTTCGTTATGACGGGAGTATGTTATATCCGGGTCCTTTTCTTGTAAATCATTGGTGTTTTTTCGTATTTTGGTCACTGATTCGCTCAATCTGTTGATTCGTGTCAGGTGTTTGGAAGCTACGTCATCACTCCACAGCTTCTAACAGAAGCAAAGGAAAAGATGGTGGTAATGCATCCATTACCGCGTGTGAATGAAATCAGGTAAGAGTGCTTAAACATTAACCGTAACTTTCTTTGATTGAAAAGACTTATATGATTGGCCATCCGGGCCGAAAAATATTATGAAAAAAAGATTAGCCATATTAATTTAAATATTCCTTTTCTGGAACGGCGCGGTGGAACTGAGAGTTTGTGTTGGCAAACCATGGCATTATTTCGCTTGAAAACAGCTTCGTCAATAATCAAACGAACCTTAAGCTTAGTTGTGATTTGAAGAGGTGTTAACTAGGCTTCGAGCTAAAGAACATATCTTAGGCCCTGTCCACACTAATGCGCACTCAAAGTATGCGTTTTCGTTGTCATCGAAAACTCATCGATTGATTCGCGTCCACACTACCTTTTCGATTCGTTTTCGACTGTCCATTCTAAAACTGCATGCTGTGACGTACGTTTAACTCTATGCGCACGCCTCAAGCACACGCGCCTGCGATAATTTCAGTCATCGTTTTCATTTTGATGCGTTTTCGACCGTTCTCATTGCTGCCGGGCATCAGCCGGGTACATCTACCTGACCTGTGAATAAACAAGTTTTGGCCTTTACGTCACTTGTTCGCAACTCATCTCATCGATCCTGTGTACGATGATTGTTCGATGAAGAAACAGCCTATCAGCACTGCTGTTGTTTTAGAATTTCGTGAATTATGAAAATGAATTAAAAAATGGTATTGAAACCTTAGCGAGTTATATGAATGTAAGCATATTTGTGATCGTGATCGGTTCATTTTTTATATTACGCTCTGAGTGTTTCATAATGCCAGCAAGTCTAAGTTATTGACTTTAATTAAAAAACAATTCATATGTTCAACTGTTCTATAAACTGTCTTTGCCCTATTCGCAGTTCGCAACTAACGGCAGCACTTCCCTTCTCGATGAGAACTTCTAGTTAATACAATATGTTTGCGTTTTCGTTTTGATCCACTTTCGAGAGCGTTTTCAAATCGACTCATTTTCGATGAAAACGGAAGGCCTAAACGTATCGAAATGTATGCGTTTTCAAAACGAAAACGCATTGGTGTGGACCGGGCCTTAGTCAACGTGAGCACTTTAACATTTGTATGTGAATATTTGTCATGGCACATTGCTGAAAAGTTCATGCTTTGTACGTACAGCTCGTGACGCCAAGATCAGCGTGAATACGAGTCTAAACTCTCATATTAAGTATAGCATTTTTCGGAAAGCCCCATTTCGTCTTTCCGTTTTAGAATTGAGGCAGATGTTTAATAGTTTTGTATATCATTGCTTTCTCTCAGCGTGGAGGTAGATTCCGATCCTCGAGCGGCGTATTTCCGTCAAGCAGAGTATGGAATGTACATCAGGATGGCTCTCCTCGCACTAGTGCTGATGAAAGGCTGAAGCGGAAAGCTGTCTCCATGAAATGGAACCGGCCTACAGTCCATTTGCACGATAACGTTTATTTGACTACAACTACCAGAATCGATCCTTCAGCGTGTAGTCTTACTGTGCTAAATATAAAATGAAGATTTAATGTCATTGATACTCGCATTGAGATCACTAAAATTATATTTAAAACAACTCAGACCGAAATGAAATCTGTTTTTTCTTATCCCTCGAAGGCGGTCTTTATATTCCCAGTGCCTAGATATTATATATAGCTCAAACTCGTAACTAAGATGGTAAATTTCTGTATACCTCGGCGAGACTGGGGAAGCCAATGTGCAGTTTGCTCGCTCGATTTACTTCCAGTGCTGACAGTCTAAAAGATGTAGGCCGATGTGTTTCGAGGCAGATTTGGTTAAACATCTTTCTTTTCAAAATCCAACTATCCATTCTCTCTACAGAATCCCTTGGTTTGATTATTTAAATGAGCTTAAATCGAACCTCTTTGCCATACGTTTTACATAGTACTATGGGCTTTCATTAGTTTACGGAACGAAATTTTCATTTTTTCCTGAGTTTTATGGTCCAGAAGGACTGTCAAATCACCTCAGTTAACTGCCCTCTCTGTATACAGTCATACGTCTTTTTTTTTTCCTTTGGTAAGACAAATGTGCGACTTGACACTCCAACATCTCTTGGTTTCACTCCGCTCTTTTCAAGTTCTACGCAGACGATTCGCTCGTCAACACGTTAAGTAAGCGAGACGCACACGATGGTATATATTGTTATTGAAGAAAAAGAAAGCAAGAGAAGTTTTTCTGTGGTAGCAAATGTGGATTTGTTACAGTTACGTTGAAGTTTCGTGGATAAAAACACCAAAACGTTGAGCACTGTGCACTTGTGCTACTTCTCTGTTTAAAAAGTAGATAACACGTGTAACGTAAATTGGTTGTGTGATTATTTGACAGTCAAAATCAATAATAAAAGAATGCTAATATGTTTTAAAACTGTCGATGCTTCATAAGTTGTTTATCGAGTCCTTTTGTTGTTTGAAGTAAAATATTCCAGCCAGTCCAGAAATGCAGTACTGACAGAGATTCACTGCCTTTTTATTGCTATCACGAAGTGTCCTCACCAATGAAAGGTCCCCAGAACGCGCAAGTCTTTGAAGTGTAAAGTCATATGAATACCGTAAACTAACGCTTGTATGCCCCACGTTAAAAGGCCCATCTACGTGTAAACAAAAAGGATTATTTGGGTTTCTGGGAAACTGCCCACCTACTCCTCTAAGTCAACATTAACACTTACTTCTCACTTAGGGAAAAATGTTAGGTTAGGGGAGGGGTAGGTGGGCAGTTTCCCACAAACCTAAATTGATCCAATAAGAAAATACATCCGCAAAAAGTCCCCTCTAATTCTGTTCCAAATGAATTGAAATTAATTAGATTTATTATAAAGTTTTGAAGCTTAACGGAACCTACGCAGTAAATGCAAAACGTATTTTGATCAGCACTGCTACAGTTTATTTCGAAGCGCTTTTTCTATTCGGTTTATAAGCGCTCTCGGATGTAAGGGGAGCAAGGGTGGCGCAGTGGTGAGAGCGCTCGCCTCCCACCAATGTGGCCCGGGCTCAAATCCCGGCGTCGACGCCATATGTGGGTTGAGTTTGTTGTTGGTTCTCTCCATTGCTCCGAGAGGTTTTTCTCCGGGTACTCCGGTTTTCCCCTCTCATCAAAAACCAACATTTCCAAATTCTAATTCGACCAGGAATCAGGCAGACGAAGAACCACTATGTGGATGTGCTACCTGCAAATCGTTATTTATGTATTCATTTTATTTATTTATTTATGTAAGACCCCTTGGATATACGCCCCTCCGGTTTTAACCCCTCCTTAAAGCCCCTGAAGAAGTTGTATAAGCCCAGAGCTTATAAACGGCAGTTTATGGTACGTCAAATGGCCCTGAGAGAATATGAAGGTCTTGAAATCAATGGAATTTTTCCCGCATTTCTAAGCATAACTGTAAGTTAAAGCCCTCTAATTAATCGTCTATTCACCTGGGACCAAGTCACCGAATATCCTAAATGCTTGCCTAGTCCCTAGGCCTCGCTTTTCTTCGCGGCCAAAGCGTTTCGGGTCACGTGGCCCATTCGAAAATGTTTCCTGCCCGTTCGCCTCGGATACGTCACCGAAACGAATTGACCGAGAGGGACTGGGAAAACGCCGTACAGGGACTAGGCAACCTAAATGCGATGTCTTATTCTTTGTCAGCCTAAGATAAGATGATTTATTTAACGTCAAATGCAACGGGAGTGGTTACCCAGAATCCCGAGCCAGAGGCTCATGTTAAAAGAGATTGCCAGTTAAGATGTTTCGATACAGTTTTTCAGGGGCCATACCGATATTTTTCAATCGCCTTAAAAGTGTTTTTTTCCTTGTCCGATTGTTATAAAATTTTCACCAGTAATTGGTTAATAATTCATCAGTAATTGGCCAGGTAATTTTCAAATTTGTGAAAATGTAGTTTTAAGTAAAATCGATATTACTATGACTACAATAAACAAAAAACTTTGAAATTGATAAAAGCCGAATTTTGTGTGAACTAGACCTGCTACTGAAAATCCAACACTAGGAACTTAAAGTTTGGTGTTTAGCAAACAATCTCCGTAACAAACGTAAAAACTAAGAATTAAGGAGGCCAAAAATCTAAAACATGCTAATTAGAATCAATGCCGCATATTGATATATAGATAAATTGATAAAAATGGAAGGCTATTTAAAAATACAAATAGAAAAATCAATAACTATGTTAGAAATACTAAGAAAAATGTACATAATCTATTAATTAATTAATTAAGAAGAATATCAGATGCAGTTATTGCATCAGGACAGCCAGTGAAATTCTGTTTTTTAAATGTCTGCAAAAAGATACAACATCACGTGCATTCTTTACGAATCCTGCTTTTTACAAATGCATAAAAGAGCTAACTTTCCAACTTTCATGAATATTTAATAAATATTTCTCATCCCTTCGCATCTCAGGGATCGTTGAACAGGTGCATGGCAATCGGTTATTCAAAAAATATCAAGTAAGAAGTTGTTGGTTATTTTGGTACAAAAAAATCGCGGTTTTATACCACACAATACAAGACTTTCAAAACTAAAAGCAGTTTTCCACTTGTGACAAAATTTCAAAATACAGTAAAGGTGATGTTACACGGTACGATTCTCAAAGACGACTTTCAGCGCAACACAGCGTTGCAATGTTGGAATAATTTAACTGTTCGAAGCAATGTTGCAACACTGTGTTGCGCTAAAAATTGTCGTTGCGAGTCGTCTCGTCTAACATCACCTTAATGGTGATTGGACCCGACCTTTTGATGCTTGAAAAATAAGTTGTTTGGTAAAGCTACGAACAAGAGCCCTTGAGGAAAAGAGTGAATGAAAGAAAAATATAGCCAATTGCTTTATTTTATTACTATTATTTTTTTACCAGTTGTAAGGTTTCCACAGACTAACAAACCTTCTCCCTCAATGAGCATTTGAACACGATTTTATTTAATCTCTTTTAAATTTTTATAGCCTGACTCGAAAAATACAGTCAGATATTACTTTGTTAGACATTTATTTTGTTGAAAAATTGTACGGTTTGCTTGGCGGCCAAGCCATCGGTAATTGTCTCTTCAAACTTGTGTCATATTCGCGTGTCCAAGTAGTGGAAAAATGTTTTGCTTTGTCTCGAGTTTTTCTGTTGAAGGCCGCGATTGCAGGAATGACAGATATATGTCTTCCCCCTCGGTTTGAGTCAAAATGACTTGTCCTGGAAACTGTGGAATGTTCAAAGCGTGCTCGGTCGTTAGGCGAATTCAAAAGAGGGGTGTATTCTTTGATTCCGCTTATTGCACCACTGATATCGTGAAAATACGGCATTTTGTCCACCCTACCATACGTTACCCCAACGACATCGAAATTTACTTGTGATTGCTTTCCGCTATTGATCGTTCTTGTTTTCTCACTTTGGTTCAAGTCATAATCGGACGAGGTTCTACCGAACGAAAAATCTTGGTCATACAACCGCGCAGATTTGTTATAAAGTACTCCCTCCCTAGATTCCTGTCCGCGAGTAAAGGAAGAACGGCTGGCCGGTAGGTTTCTGGCCAAAAAAGGTTTTTCAAGTCTGTTTATAACCTCCCTAGCTGGTAGCAAATGACTCGGATCGTGTTTGAAGTTATTGCAAGTGTCCGAGAAGTCATATCTTGCACTTGCAGAAACTCGGCGAGTCTGTTTTGCAGGAAGGTATGTTTCAATCAAATGACTTTTCCTTTGATAACTTGTTGCTGGAGATTTGAGGATTGATTTGTAAGGAGGTCTACTTATATCGTGCCCTGGATTGATCGTTCCGTAAGTCTGTGTTGTCTGAGGACTTTGTTGTCCTTTGTTTCCATGAAACGAAGAAGACGTGGAAAACGTTTGCAATCTTCCTCGTCCTCTAGTTGCGTCTGTCCTACTATTAATCCAAGAGTTTCCCACCACGGAATCTCTTGTAAATACAAAACCATCTCGTAAATCAGCGGCGTTTTGACTTTCTTCATATGCGGGAATATTAATCACCCAGGTTTCATCTTTGAAAGACACACGCTTCGGCAGTTTTTGCTTCGTAGACAAACGAGGCTTTCTCAATCCAAGAACTGACGAGGTCTCTTTGTCCATAATGCAAGCATGCAGTGTTTTTCGTACATTCGGCTTAAAACGATTCAACCGGCAAAGTAACAACGTACGTGTGAATCAACGTATTCTCTGATGGATATGACAAATTAACCATGCAAGCGAAATAATCGCTTTGTGTATTCGACAAACTCAGAGACAAAGTGCTAATTACATGACGCGATGGTTCATGAATGCTAATGTTTGTTTGGTATAATGGCACGATCCAACCAATAAACAATCGTAATTAAACCTAAAGCAAAAATGCTTTTGTAAACCTCTCATGCATGAAATGCCAATTTCTGACAGTTGATTGAAATTATTTTGTTTAATTTGTTTTGACTGGTTTTTGGGAATGAAGCGTTGCCATCCTTCTTTAATTAAATTGCTGGTCGAAATTAAACAAACTAAAATTTTGCTTTTAAATCGCCGTTTGTGTACAATAAACAAATTAACGAACGCCTTGACCAGCTTTTATTGCCGTGTCCGCTGTGATTTTTACATTTCCAGATGCACATACGGACTTGTAACAAAAACACGTTTGGACACCTCCCTGTATTTTGGACACCTCACGATAATTACACAACTAATTATTCGTGGTAGAGAAACCAAAATCAGAGAGGGCCAGTTTAAAGCACGGAACAGTCCCAGGTGCTGATCTCAAACAAGGAGACGGGAAAGAAAATAATCTCGAATACGCCACTTTCACAGCATCCGTAAAGCACTTTGTTTCAAAAGAATTGTTTTCAATTTCTCCTGTGTTTACAGTCGTCTCAAGAAAAGGCGGAAATAATGCTTATGCAATTTTTGTTGTTTTTTGGGGGGGAGGGGGGAGGGACAGTAGGGTAAACAAGGTGTATTATGGGCAATGTGAAAGCGGTGAATCTCCGACTCAGAAAAAAAGGCATTTGTTCTCACTTCTCCCCTTATTTTACTCAGTTGCAGTTGATCATCTAAATAATACATTGTTGGTGATAACTAATTTATGATTACAGCACAAAAACAGTTTTAAAGCAATAATAACGTAAAGTTTTAGCTAGGCATTAACGGTGCCAGCACATCTTCTCTCAGTTCACTCCCCCAGTGTGTCAGCTGGTCCTATAATAGCAAACAAAAACCACAGCTCTTTTCAATCTAACCTGCATAGCAAGCGTTTCCACATGGTTTCGGAGCAAAAAAAGACCGAGGAACGGGATTTTCGGTTTTGGCAACGCGAGAAATGGAACGAGCCATTTTTCACGCGGTCTTTGACTCTCGTTCCTCGTTTTTTTGCTCCGAAACCGCACGGAAATGGTTGCTACGCACGCCATTTTCAATCGACTCTCTAATTTCGTTTATACTTTGGTCTGGCTTTAGTGCAAATTGTCTGCAAAAAAAAATTCAAAAAGTCCACGTCCCCGCACCGCACGCCAGACAGAAGACTGTGCAAAATTTCGGATCGTCATGCGTCACCTCCCCCAATACTAATTTGAAGCTGAGTATCATGTAAAAATCCTCATCTCATAAGCGTAGGAGAAAGGTAAAAGAAATCGAAACAATCACTCGACTTAACGTCTCCTCGCTAACTTCTTTTTCGCGTTTACAAATACAAATGCGCAGTGAATTTGAATTTTACATGGGGCTGAAGGAACGAAGAACAATCTCGCGGTTCACCTTGTTCCACAAAGCAATTCATGGTGATGGCGGTCTGGCCTTCCCAGACTATGTTACGAAGCGCAGAGGACATTTAAGGAACTCTAGCCAAAACAAGTTTATTGAACTGCTGCCAAATACTGAGACTCATAAGAATAGTTATTTTTGTAGAACTGTCAAGGACTGGAATGCGTTGCCAAGCGAAATTGTTAACATCAAGTCCGCAGATCGTTTCAAAAAAGTCTTATTTAAGTATTTTAGTCAATGATGAATTTTAACATTGCATAATAATTGATGCTGTGAAATTAATTATTTTAATTATTATTATTATTTTTTTATCCATTTTATCTTTTATAGAAATTTTTTTTAACGTCATTACTTTTAATTTTATTCATTTTACTTAGGCGTCTTGCGTGATGGTAACCCCGTTGCAGGACTATAAATTTTTGAATAAAGGTTGAATAAAGGTTAAGCGTAAATCTCCAGTATTTTGGGCGATATGACATTTGGACCACATGGCCAGTTATTGGTTTAAATCCGTTGGAAGTGGAACGAATAAAATTATTGTAGGTATCTTAATTAATCCTTGGGAAGTCATAATGTAACATGCATCTGATGAAAGTAGAACGACGAGAAGATAGAGCGGATGTATTTGACAACATTTTTACCAAAATGATCACCAGTTACATATTTTATAACAGTAAATAATTGTATGCTGTGATTTCATATACATCCTTGATTTAAATTTCATTTTTTTGTACCAATATCATTACCATACTTTACCAGAGCAAAAAAAATGAAATATAAAAATATATAATTTCGACCCTTCCACCTTGTTAGAGACTAACTATTTTAAGTACGAGAGACCTGTTAACATTTCGTTATTTTACCTGTGGTACATGAAGGCAGATACTTGATATCTTGAATGCTGCAAGTTTACTCTCATCAGTCTGCATAAAAATGCATAAAATAATTAAGGCTCGTTGTCATTCTTCGACAGCTAATAGAATGTCAAAATGAGCATAATCTAAATGCACTAAACTTGAGTCAATACGGTGACTACAAGAA